CCGAGAAACCAGAGGACATCCTTCCCCACTCTTTGGACATACTACACGAGATAGAAGAAGCCCAAGTCCTTCCTCATAGGATCCAAAGTCATCGGAACAACAGCCAGGAACCACGAGTGGTCCTCAGAATCAGAAGAATAATAAACTTCCTTCGGGACAAGGGAGAGGAGCTTTCTCCAGTCCTTACTTAGTTCCAGCTCTTGGCCCCCACCCTCTACAATGACCAACAGGGTCACTCCAGAACCCCTCCCCAAACTCACACACACACACACACACACACACACACACACACACACACACACACACTCACATATACACACAAATTGGAATAGATAAGCAGAGAACAACAAAGAAAGATTGGTCATCTTGGACTCACACATACTCTACTAGGTAGAACACAAAGAACAAGTACTCCTCACCAAGGTATGAAAGATTTTCTGCATAACCCCCCCTAAAACTGTTATGAACCTCAATTGTTTAAATGTCATTGAAATAGTCGCAGGAGGTTGTTAAGAACTTACATGTAATTTTAACATATTGTTTACTCAACACTATGTCAATTAATTCCAGAACGATATATATTGTTGCTGCTGGGGCTTTTAATTGATCGAGTTCTTGCTCTCTTGATCCCTACCTTCAGACCAGAGAAGGTCTCCCCAAGAAGCAGATGAACTTATCTGGATAATAGATGCTAGACTCTATGCTTGCTATATGTTTACAATGAAGGTGTCTCAACTGAACTTGATCTATGGTCTCACAACACACCATGGTGGGGAGGGATGGGGGAGCTGTAGGGGGAATCCCAGTACCTATGGAACTGTGTCTCATAATACAATGTAGTCAATAATTTAAAAAATAAATTTAAAAAACCCTATGCCGGGCCCGGCGCGGTGGCGCAAGTGGTTAAAGGTCCTCGCCTTGCACACCCGGGATCCCATATGGGCGCTGGTTCTAATCCCGGCAGCCCCGCTTCCCTTCCAGCTCCCTGCCTGTTGCCTGGGAAAGCAGTCGAGGACAGCCCAAAGCTTTGGGACCCTGCACCCACGTGGGAGACCCGGAAGAGGCTCCTGGCTTCGGATTGGCATAGTATCGGCCCGTTGCGCTCACTTGGGGAGTGAATCATCGGACGGAAGATCTGCCTCTCTGTCTCTCCTCTCTGTACATCCGCCTTTCCAATGAAAAAATAATAAAAATAAATCTTTAAAAAAAAAACCCTATGCCAACCTCAGAGTTAACTGAGGAAGACATCATGAAAATGGGGGGCACAGAATTCAGAAAATTCATTATAAAGCTTCTGATCAACAATGAGAAGCACATACAAGAGTTCAAAGAATTTAAGGAATATCCTACACACAAAAGCAGCAATAAAGCAAATCAAGGCTGATATATCAGAAATTAAGAACACAATAGAGCAAATTGATAGTACAGTGGAGAGTCTCCAAAATAAAATGAAACAAGCAGAAGAAAGAATCTCAGAATTGGAAGATATTTCCTGTCACCAGGGGGAGACAAAGAAAAAGCTGGAAGCAGAGCTCGATCAGGCGAAAAAAAAAGTATTCAAGAATTGAAAGACACTATTAACAGAACTAATCTAAGAGATATGGGAGTCTCAGAAGTTGCAGAAAGAGAAACTGGTTTTATAAATACTTTTAATAAGGTAATAAGGGAATTTTCCCTAATCTAGAGAAAGAATTGGGAAACAACATCCAGGAGGGGTATAGAACACCCAACAGGCTTGATCAAAAATGATCTTCACCAAGACACATGATCATCAAGCTCTCTTCAATCGAACATTAGGAAAAGATCCTTAAATATGCACAAGAAAAAAAAATCAATTGACATATAGGGGAATGCCAATTAAACTCACAGGAAACTCTACAGGCAAGAAGAGAATGAAGTGACATATTCCAGATTCTAAAAGAAAAAAATTGTCAGCCCAGGATAACATATCCCACAAAGCTTTCTTTTGTCTTTGAAAATGAAATAAAATTCTTTCACAGTACTGAAAATTTAAAAGAATTTGCATCTTCCAAACCTGCCCTACCAGGTAAATGAAAGGTAACTTATTGGTAATAGGCTCAAAACCACAATAGACATCATTTAAACTACAAAGACATACAGGGGGAACTAAGAGCAATCCTGACAACCTACCAACAGGACGACATATGCAGAGAGCAAGGACTGACCCCAGAGTGGAGCACGAGGACAGGAAGAGGCCTGTATCCCACACCTGCAGACTTCATAAACCCCACTAAGGACTATCAATATGGGCACCAAGGACTGCATCCCAACTGCCAGAGACCACGGGGAACTGGAACGCCTTCGGAGCCTGCGAACTCAGAGGGCATCCCTCCCGGACTGGAACTACTACATGGGATGAAAGAAGCCCGAAATCTTCCTCGGGGGATCCAAGGACGTTGGAACAACAGCCAGGAACCCAGAGTGGTCCTCAGAATCAAAAGAACAGTAAACTCCCTTCAGGACTAAGGAAAGAAGCTTTCTCTTGTCCTTAGTTCCAACATTGGGTCTCCACCCTCTATGCAATGACTGTCAGGGTTGCTCCAGAGCCCCCCCTCCAAACACACACACATACATACACACAAACACACACAAACACATACACATTTGAATAGACAGAGAACAACAAGGAAAGTTTGGTCAGTATAGACTCAAACATGCTTTGCTAGGTAGGACACAGAACAAGCACTCCTCACCAAGATGCTGAAGATTTCTCTGCTCACCCCTCCTATAACGGTTATGTACCTTATATGGAGAAATGTCAATGTTGGGGCTTTGATTGATTGGCTTTACTCTGTTGACTCTACCTTCAGACCAGAGAAGGTCTCTCCAAAAAGCCGTTGAACTTATCTGGCCAATAATATGAGGATCACAATGCTTGGTATATGCTAGCAATGATGTAATCTCAAGTGAACTTGAACTGAGTCACGCAACACAGTAGAGGTATCTACCATGGGGGGGGAGGGTTTTGTGAGGGGTGGTGGGAATCCCAGTACCTATAAAACTGTGTCATATAATAAAATATAATTTAAAAAAAAAAAACTTTCTTCAATCAAACATTAGGAAAAGATCCTTAAATGTGCACGAGAAAAAAAAAATCAATTGACATATAGGAGAATGCCAACTAAACTCACAGGAGATCTCTCACAGGAAACTCTACAGGCAAGAAGAGAATGGAGTGACATATTCCAGATTCTAAAAGAAAACATATCCAGCAAAGCTTTCTTTTGTCTTTGAAAATGAAACAAAAATTTTCCACAGTAAAAAAAAAAAAAAAAGTTAAGAGTTTGCCTCTTCCAAACCTGCCCTACAAATGATACTTCAAGATGGTCTCTTGACAGAGAAGAGGAATAACACCCAACAAAACCAAAGGCAAATGTGAAAAACATCCCAGTAAAATGACGACAGAAGAATAAATCAATGAACAACCCATTCCTAAAATGACAGGACCAAATTTCTACCCATACTTATGAACCCTGAATATAAATGGCTTAAGCTCACTCAAATGTCATAGATTAGATGACTGGATTAAAACACAAACCCATCTATTTGTTGTCTAGAAGACACACATTTCACCAGCAAAAGTCAGCGGAATGTCTATCTCATGGATTTTGATGTTTTTGTTTTGTTAGTTTCATCTCTTCAAAACACTTTATTCCGATTAAATTCTTCAGTGACTCATAGATCATGCAGTAGCATCATCCTCAAGAAGATTCTTGATTTTCTTTCTCATTTCTTCAGCAACACATTCGTCATTCAGTAGCATGTTAGTTAACTTCATGGTGGTGTTAATTTCTTCTTTCTTCCTGTTGTTGATTTTGTTCTGTGGCTTCTCATTTAAGGGGATGTGTAGTAGCTGTGTAATGGAGACTGTCATATCTAGTAACATGTCATTTAACTTCATGGCATTCTAAACTTCTATTTTTCTTCCTGCTGTTGATTTTATATTGTGACTTTTCAATTAAGGGGATGTACAGTAACTATAAAATGGAGACTATCATATCCAGATGTGAGGACACAAGGCATTGTACATCTCTACTTTCAGACAAAGATGGACTTACAATGAAACTGTTTACTATGTCTTCACAATAGGATGCTGGACTCTCTGCCATTGTCCATGCCCACGATGATGGACATATGACTGTGTATGAAGAACTATGCTTTAGCAATGATATAGAGGAACTAGGTGGGGGAGGGGCATAAGAGAAATCCCAGGAGCTTCTGGAACTGTATCAAAAATGATATAAATAAATAAAAAGAATGTTGAGATTCTTCACCAGTCTACTAATCTATGACATTTGATGGATTAGTTTAAGCCATTTACATTCAAGGTTAGTGAGAATAGGAAGTAATTTGGTCCTGTCATTTAGCAATGACTTGTTCTTCGATTTAGTTTTCTGTTGTTATTTACTGGGATGTTCTTCACATTTGCCTTTAGTTTTGTTGGGTGCTATTCCTCTTCTTTTTCTAAAGAACATCATTGAGTATCATTTGTAGGGCAGGTTTGAAAGAGGCATATTCTTTTAACTTTTCTTTACTGTGAAAGAATTTTATTTCATGTTCAAAGACAAAGGAAAGTTTACATGCAGACCTTACCCTTTGAAGACATGAAAGAATGACTGCATCCAAGAATGACTTTCAACAGATAGAGGCTCAAGGTCAGAAAGCTGGGCAACCCGATCTCACACTTCTGCTTTCATGGGTGGTTTTTGTTCAGGCTTGTATCACTGTGTACCATCAGGATAACTATAAACACCATAACAGTAGTAGATTCCAGCATCCTCAGCCTTCACAGGGTTGATGGTGAGAGTGTATGATGTCCCAGATCCACTGCCCTTGAACCTCGGATCGACCTCAGGGGCTAAATCGGATGCACCATAGATCAGGAGCTTTAGACGTTGCCCTGGTTTCTGCTGATACCAGGATAAAACACTGTAAACATTCTGACTCGTCTTGCAATCGATGGTGACTGTGCCTCCCACCTTTGCAGACACCGTGGTTGGAGTCTGGGTCACCTCCAAGGCACGTGTGGCACCTGAGAAGGGAAACACAAACACAAACATCCACTCTCATCAACATGTTCATACAGCAGAGACAGGAAGTTTCAGTCAGCACTGACCACAAGGCAAAAATTCAGTTCCAGCTGTTGTCCTTCCTCACCTGGGAGGCAGAGCAGCAGGAGCCCTAGGAGCTGAGCAGTGGCTCTCATGTCCATGCTGTGTCCTGACTGATACTGACTCCTGCACAGGCCATGAGCAGCCTGTTCTTAAGTGTGCAGGTCAGTAGGCTGTTCCCTGGGGACATGCAAATCAGTAAGAGAAGTGATATTCTTGTGCCATGCTGAAGAGCCCAGCTCATCTCATAACTGAGCAGAGGGGAAGTGTCTCCAGGCACCCAGGTCACCCCTTGGGCTGCACTAATTTACCTACAGAGAACATGATCCTCTGACACACATTATGTAGACATAAAGCATTTGAGAAGCACTCTAACGTACCCTCCAGACAGGTCAGTGTAATCTACTTGTATTTAATGTCAGTGTCTCAATTTACAGGAGAACAAATTATTTTCAGAGATTGTGCAACACTTTCTGACAGGGTAAAATCTATCAATTCCTCAGCCTGCCCTCAAATTCTTCCCATGCTTTACTTATTATTCACAGATTTCTGACAGCCTAAACTTATCTCATTTACATTATTTAGAGAAAAAGGACAATAGGGATTCATATATATTTAGCAGCCAGGATACAATGGCACACAGATATTATTAGAATCTGACTGAGAAGCAATTTGCAGCCAATAGATGCACCATGACATACGGGGGAGGGTTCATATGTCCAGGGACTATATAGGCTGTAAAATTGTTGACATGAGAGCATCGGTAATTAAATATTGAGCCATTTGCTGCTATTTCCTGATCTTCACCAGCACAAAGCTCTGAGTTATGAAATGGGATCGATGCAACTACCATCAACACTTGCATTTATCGGTAGTATCTCAGTTAGGATACATAAGACACATTAAAGGAGAACACACCCTAGTACCCTTCTCTGCAAATTCCAAACAAACCCCAAGTACAGTCTCCTGGTTAGTTTCTGTGAGCTGCAGTAGCTAGCACTCGGGACTCAGGTGAACTACATCTGCAGTCTAGGACTTGGAAGACGGGTGAGGAGTTAGCCCATTGAAAAAGTGCATTTATTACCCACCTGACTTAGAGGATACCTGCTGCTTGGTCCAGGGTCAGGTCATGCACTGCACATTCCTCATTCCTCTGCTGATCTTTTAGGATCAAGCTGGGCATGCAAGCACTCCCCTGTTCCATACACAGGAGTCCGCACTTTGTCAAACTAGTGCCAATTACATAGTAATATCTTGGATTACAATACACTTGGATTACCAGTCTATTTGCACAACTGTATCTCACATATCGATATTTGCACCAGCCATCCAGTCTGTAACTCTAGAATGCGATGACTGGAATTTTTTTTTACCCATCTGTTAGTGTGCTGAAACAGGAATTCCATCATTATCACAAAACCATCTTCATCACAACTCCAAAGTGGTTCTTGCCTGATAGTGGAGACAGATGACTTCATTAGAAGCAGCAAATGCAACTCTCCCAGCTTCAGCCTCAGAGTCGGAGACTGGATCTGAAATTTCCTGCAGCTCTGTGCACCAGAGATCTTCCCTGTGGTTTTGAATTCTGATGTAGAAAAAGACAGTAGCTGGGAAGACAATGTTATAAAGGTGTGGGAAAAATATTACTCCAAGCCAGCATATAACCAAGTACTAAATTCTGGATCATCAGAATTTCACACTAAATGTCAGAAAGTAAATGCCAGATTGATTAGCTACCAATGTTCTATTTCTCCAGAGAGAGGGAGGAAGCCAAGCGTGGAGACCAGCTGTGACAGAGGAAAAGGTAGTTAAGAGTGAGGGGAGGGAGGCCCACAAATCAGGACACATGGGGCATCCTGAAGCTGCAAGAACAGAGACTTGGATCCTCCCCTTTAGAGCTGCCAGAAGGAGCACAGCCCTGCTGCCTCCTCGGTTTCATCCCAGCTAGACCTGACCTCCTGAACTGGGATGATAGCATATTTGTGTGAGCTGAGGCCTGAACAATATGATAAGGTGCTGGAATAATTTCTCACTGCCTGATACTGTGTCTGCAATCACTGGAAGCCTATTACAGTGGCTACTCCACTTCTGTTCCACCTCCCTAGGTATGGACGGGGAAAGCAGTAGAAAATGGCAAAAATCCTCAGTACAAAGCAACCACATGCAAGATCCAGAAGGAGCTCGGGACCCCTGGCATCTCATTGCCCTACCTCCAGGTGTTGAAGCCACTTGGAAAGTGAACCAGCACATGAAGAACTTTATCTGTCAGTCTCTCATTCTCTTTGTATATCTGCTTTTGCAATGAAATTAAATATTTCTAAAATCAACCTAATAGCCCATTTATAAGGTCAATATTAAGTTAATAGATGTGAAGTTACTATCACAACTCTGATTCACTCACTGTCCTCTGAGATCTTCACACTGTCACTGTGTTCTCATTTAGTGTCAGTTTTAACAGGAGACAGACAACAATTGATTGCAATGTGAGAGCACAAATCCCGCTCAAATGGAGAGTCTCATGGTTGATATATCTTAGTGAGCTCTTGACAACCAAGAGATGATAGAGCCTGGTGCTCACCTATCAAGGACTGTGAGTGGAGGAAGAAGATTTAATTTGTTTGCTTCTAGGGGCACGGCAATGTGGCCTAGCGGCTAAAGTCCTCACCTTCAATGCGCCCCAGGATCCCATATGGATGCTGGTTCTAATCCCAGCAGCCCCACTTCCTATCCAGCTCCCTGCTTGTAGCCTGGGGAAGCAGTCAAGAACCACCTAAAGCTTTGGGACCCTGCACCCATATGGGATACCCAGAAGAAGTTCCTGGATCCTGGCTTCGGATCGGCATGGCATCAGCGGTTGCAGTCACTTGGGGAGTGAACCATCGGACAGAAGATCTTCCTCTCTGTCTCTCCTCCTCTCTGTATATCTGACTTTCCATTAAATAAATAAATCTTGTAAAAAATTTTGTTTGCTTATCTGCTTCCATATTAGGAGGAAAAAATAGATTGATGAGAATGTGAGAGTACAAGCTGAAACCAGAGATGAAAAGGGACAGAGAAAATAATGAAAGGATCAAGAATGTGAGATGTGCCACCTGCCTGCTAATCTGAAATTCCTGAATGTGCCAGGAAAATTTGCAGTCAGAGAGGTCTAAATTAAAGAACTAGATCGAGGTCAACACAGAGTGAAACAGGAGCAGCAACAACCCCGGGTTTCTCATCACCCAGGTTTTGCCTGCTGTCTTTCCTGTAGACTACAGCCTGAATATGGAATGAGCATGGGTGTGTGGATGGAAGATCCTTAAGGATATACAGGCCTGCTTTCAAACCCCAATCACAATTGCTCACCATGAGTCTGGCTAACAATCGCTATGCACAGAGATGTGAACATCAGGAGAAACTCATACCATCCATCAGCACCTGCAGGCAGATCCAGGGAGGAGGATGAGGCCTGGAGAAGCACCTGTTAGTGCCGCGGGCAACTGATGACATCAGCTTCAGCGTGAGGAACACAGGACTTGGCATACAGTTCCTTCCGTAGGGAAGGGACATTGCCTTGTTGAAGAGCAAGGGGTCCCAAATTTCTACAATCACCATTTCCAGCCCCTAACTGTCATATTAAAGGCTTTAGTCTGGTTCTAATAAACTGTATGAAACTGTTTCAGCTTGGAAAATATGCCAATGTTTACGCTTTTTCCTCGTTGAATGCAAACACGTTACTTTCACCCAGTGTGGCAGGTGCTAAGAAGAAAACACGAGAAGCTTCACTGGAGCTGTCGCTGCTCATCCTCCAGACTTTTCAGGAGCTTCACAACCTAACTGCAACTAACAATCTCTCTCAGCTGATGGAGGACCCAGGAGACCCAGCTGGGGACTTCTGCTTTCCTGGGGGGTTGATGTTAAGACTTGTATCAAAGTCTAAAGGGCACTTTAGTCCTGAAGGCAGTAGTAGGCTGCAGCATATATAGCCACCACACCACATGCACAGATGTTTGATTGTTCTATTTGTTACTTCATGATTAAGCAGGTGCTCTTAAAGACAATTCTGTAAGATGCTGTAAACATTATTCCATACTTCTGTAGTAGGCATTGGAAAGGACTCCACAGCCAATGTATATGCAGTTACCTAATAATACGTAACACATTCCTATTGCATTTCTATTTTTACAGCTTATCTATCGCTTAACAAAAGAAATATACCCTAAGGGAAAAACAGAACAATCCAAAGCAGAAGTTTTAAACATTAATTCCCTCTACAAATACAGGCTTTATAATTCCATAAACAATCAAATGATAAGGAAAGGCAAATTTCTGCAATATTAATATACGCATCATTAATTTCTCTAGTTAAAAAGTTATAAAAGCATCTAAAATGAAAATATTTTATATACTTCCAAGAAATTGCCAATACAGGTTAGTCCTTAAGATTACAACAACCTGGGCCCAGCATAGTAGCCTAGCAACTAAAGTCCTCGCCTTAAACATGCAGGGATACCATAAGGACACCGGTTCTAATCCTGAGAACCCTGCTTCCCATCTAGCTCCCTGCTTGTGACCTGGGAAGGCAGTTGAGGATGGCCCAAAGCCTTGGGTCCCTGCATCTGCATGGTAGACCTGGAGAATGTTCCTGGCTCCTGCCTTCAGATCAGCACAGCACTGACCGTTGTGATCACTTGGAGAGTGAATCATTGGATGGAAGATCTTCCTCTCTGTCTCTCCTCCTTTCTGAATATCTGACTTGGCAATAATAAGAAATCATTTCAAAAAGATTACAATAACTATATGTATCACTATAGCAGTTTCACCCACATTCCCATCACTTACATGAATCTTTTGGATATTTATTAAGCCCTTTCCCAGAAGGCGTGCTACATGTCTGGGCTAGGTTCCAGGGCAATATTTAGGCACACAATATGGTGTCCAGATATGACATGGGCTTCATTATGCTTCTGTGTGCATTAATTAGCATATGTTGTTAAATGCCCCATTCACCAAAACATTATCAATAACATTAACTCCCAAACTCACATCAGTTGCAAAAGCCATCTCACAAGGACAAACATTGCATATATTTTTGTTATTTGTTACTTTATTTGGGTCATCTTAACATAATTGATTAACGCAGAAAGGGGTCAAGAGCTACAGGAAAGTGGGTGAGACCATTGTTTCCACATTATTTTTTTTTTCTAGATCTGGGGTAAAGGGAAGAGATAAATGGAGAAGCTACACCCAGCCTCCCACCCCTCCCAGGGTTCCTGAAGTGGGGCAAGCTCTAAGGGCTCTGCTCAAGTGGTTTTAATGGTTCAGCAGTTCTGAATTGCTGTCAATCTTGCCATTCCAAAATGATGAAATCTCTCTAGCATCCACTGGTTGACACAGTCTACTTTAGAGCCTCCGTTTGCCCAGATTCTCAATGCCAACAAATGGCTAGGACAGATGGTTGATTCTTTCATCCTCTGTCTTATTGTGGTACCAAGTGTCCTCTGCAGGTTCCAATAGACCATGTGCACTTGGATTTGCTGTCCACTGTTCAGTCTAAGCCTCTGAGGAGACTCAGCTTTGACACTTGCACCCATGGTCAGACCATGGGACCTGCACTTCTCTTCATGGTTGGGATTCTGAGATCATCAGTTCATTTAGAGGGATGCCCAAAGAAACTTTGTCTGAGGTGATTCGAGGCCTGGTTTTGTGCACATGGCAACACAAGGTTTGATACAGTCTGTCGTCCCAATCAGTTTATTAAAATGCTGCCCACCTCACACTCTATCCTCACACAAACAAGTGGAAGCTGCCACCTAGTCAGTGCAATTCCCAAGTAACCCCCATAAGGCCTTCCCCTGCCATGTTCCCATGCTTGCCAGTATGTACAACAGACTAGTCAAGTCTGTCCCACATCCCATTCAGCTCTCCTACATATCATAGGGCATTGAAATCTAGTTCTGAGTCAGAGCAACCACTGGCATGCGCCTGATCTATGGCCAGGAATAGGCCCGGTTGGGGAGCTAAGGCGACACCCTAGCTGGGTTGAGGTTCCCAGCAAGGGACACATGGACTGGAATGGTGGCTGCGTTCTGATCAGGGTACAGTTGTAGTCTCCCTTGGCACAAGTGTGGACTGTGACTGGACGCACAGAGCTGGGCCAGACTTCAACACCATCTAGTGTTCTGCAGGACCAGGGTAGATGTGGGACTAGACTAGGTTAGGTCTCAACCCCTACTGAGCCATGTGTGAGCCAGATGTGGGCATGGACGAGCCGTGGCTGGGCTGAAACATCCAACAGTGAGAACCATTTTGGGTTAAAGGCCAGTCAGGTAAAATCCACTGTTCCTGCTAGGACAGGAGGTGGACAGAGTAGGGCTGGCTTATGGACTCCCTGGTATGCACGAAAGCTGGCACTGGGGAGAGATTCTGATGGAGTAGCCCAGGCAACTCCTCTGGCAGGACATGGACCCAGCAGGTAAGCGCAAGAAACATGAGAGGAAACACCCCAGAACAGGCCATGGAAGGTTTCCCACTGGCATACATTTGGCATGGGTCTGGGGCAGACCGGGCTGAATCAGTTCACGTCATCCACTGGCGAATCCGAGCATCAGAACAAAGTGTGGGTCAAGCCAGGTTCAGTCTCGACAAAAGCTAGTGCACAATACAGAATACGCAGTTGAGGTTGCCTGTACTGGATGTGACCACAGCACCCGACAGCACACATGAGAACCAGGAAGGGAGGGGGCAGAGCCGGCCGGGGAAATAAGAGGGGTGGCTCCCCTGCTGGACAGTTACTCCAACTAGAGAGCATGAGCTGGAATGGGGGCAAACCCAACTAATCAGGGCTACAACACCTGTACGCTTCATGTAGATTAGATCAAGGAAAAGCCAGGCTGGGCCGATTATTGCTACTGGTGCAAACAAAATTAGAGTAGGTGAGGGTTATTTGGGCTTAGCCGCAGCATCAGCTGGCAGTTGCTGACACTGCGAGCTAATTCTCTTAAGTCAAACCACAGAACTACCTGGACAGTGCATAATCTGGGTGTGGGAGAGGCCTGGGAGGGAAATAGTGGGCTCCTCCCTCTTGGGTTACCACTCCCACGGGAGGGCAGGAAAACTAGGACAGGGGATGGGGTGGGTAGACAGAGAGGCACCCGACAACATCCATGAGGGCTGGATAGTTGAGCTGGTTAGATGGAACTAGGCTTTAATAACCTTTGATATGTATGAGAGCCGAATGGAATGTGGGACAGACTGGACTAGTCTGCTACACATGCTGGCAAACCAGGGTACGGGGCAGTCCTGGTGGGGGTTATTGGGAATTGCCCTGACTAGGCTGCAGCTCCCACTGGTTTATGTGAGGGCCGAGTACGTGCTCAGCAGAACCAGGCTGGACTGCAACACCCATTGGTACCAGTGGAAGTCTGGGCTAAAAACAGAACCAACCAAGCAATTGCAACCACCAGCTGATCGGGGCAATGGACTGTGCTGGGCCCTGTACTTGCTAGTACAAGAATCTGCTCTTGGAATACCTCAACAAAGTCTCTTTGGGGATCTCCCCAATCGAACTGCCGGACTCAGAACCCTAACCATGAAAAGAAAGAAGACAGAACAAGTCAATCAACTACCTCAGCTATGATGGACTATGTCAATCAGCGGATTCTTCACGACCTTTTAGTGCTTGGAGTGGCAAGATTGGCAGGGATTCATAACTGGTAAACTATCAAAACCAGTTGAGCAAGAATCTCGGAGCATGCCCCACATCTGGGACCTGGGGTACGTGGGAGACTGGGCGAGGCTTCTCCCTTAATATCCCCCTTTACACCAGATAAATGAAAAAAAACAATATGGAAATAACAGTCTTATCCAATTTCCTGTAGCCCTTGAACCTTTTTACCATTATTAGCTATGTAAAATATCAAAAATAAATAAAATTAGAAAAAAATTTTAAAAAGAGAGAGACCTTGCTGGAACTGTAAATTACATCTTTGGATTGGGCCCTGGTCCTTTAGAAGGCATACTATCACATTTCCTGGAATGATGACATCTCTGTCTGCTCCTTCCGTTGTTGGTCTCTGTGAGTCCCTGCAAGTGCACTGTGGGCTTTCATTCTCCTGGTGATTTCCAGAGGCTCCACAGACCCAAGGCTGCCTGCTCAGAGCTCTAGGAATGGGCTCTCCCAGGGCCTGGGCCTGAGTGCATCCCAAAGAGATTCAGCAGAGGATGAGGCCACAGCCCAGCTCCTCAACCCCCTGGGCCTCTTGGCCTCAGGTGAGAGCATCCAAGGAGTCAACAGCATCCCAATCACGTTATACTGCATCACAAAACCTTTGGTATTTCACATGAGCAGTCTGATATATTCTAAAGAATAAGAAATCTTACATTTCACAGTTACATATTCTCTAAGATTTAGTGATACATCATGTGGTTGCTGTCCATTCCTCATGGCAGGTGCCTGTGGAGACAACATGATGTCCGTGTCTCCAAACTCCCTGACTGTGTCTGCAGAAGAGAAGGTCATCATCAACTGCAATTCAGCTGAGTCTTTTAACCAGCTCTACCCACACAAATACCTAGTCTGGTACCAACTGAAATCAGGACAAGTGCCTAAACTATTTATCAACTAGTCAGCCAGTCTAGTGTCCATTGTCCCCGATAGACTGAGCAGAAATGGATAAGGCAGGTTTCACTCTCATCAGCGGCAGCCTCCAGGCCAAGGATGTAGGAGGTTACTCCTGTGGGAAGCATGAGAGCAGTCCTCTCAGGGATTCAGCCTCCAACACAAACTCCTCCCCAGGACACAGGGGTGTTAGCTCCTGCTGTCCCAGCTGATTCCTTCCTGTCCTGCTCCGCTTCTCCCTGCTCTGTTCTACACATGCCTCGTCTCCTGCTTCACTATGGAGTATGCACTAGTACTCAGGGAAGACTGAGTGCAACAGCCTGTCCTGGATCCTTCACACAAGGGGCCAGACCAGGAAGACTCTGTAATGATATTTGATGAGTATTCCTTGGCTGAATCACCAGCTCTTTAAACCTTACCACTTCAATGCAAACAATAGTGAACAGAATGCTTCAAAGGCAATTGTCCTGTAAATCTAACACTCCCAAGAACTGCCTAGCTTCCATTTGCTTCATGGCATTTCAGGAAGCAGAGTGTTCTCATAACAGAATACAGGCAAGTCTTAAGAGGGGCCAGGTTCCAGGCATACAGTCACCTTTACAGTGAACCTTTTCAAACATGAACATATGACTGCCTCAGGTGCCAAGTTGGAAGAAATGAGGGAGGCTGCAAAAGAGTCTCAGCGATGTCTTATTACATCTCAGGGACCATCAAGACTGACTACATCTGACAATGACTCTTAGCAGATAGAGAATCTAGAATGGGGAACTGGGCAGTGCAGACTCACACTTCTGCTTTCATGGTTGGTTTTTGTTCAGACTTATATCACCGCAGTAGTACTACTAGCACTATAATACCCTTGACAGTAGTAGATTCCGGCATCCGCAGCCTGCACAGGGCTGATGGTGAGAGTGAATGATGTCCCAGATCCACTGCCCTTGAACCTGTCAGGGACCCCATCGGCTAAATACGATGCACCATAGATCAGGAGCTTTGGAGGTTGCCCTGGTTTCTGCTGAAACCAGGCTAAACTACTGCTAACACTCTGATCCGTCTTGCAATCAATGGTGACTGTGCCTCCCACCTTTGCAGACATCGTGGTTGGAGTCTGGGTCACCTCAAAGGCACATCTGGCACCTGAGAAGAGAAACACAAACACAAACATCCACTCTCATCATCATGTTCATACAGCAGAGACAGGAAGTTTCAGTCAGCACTGACCACACTGGCTGAATTCAGTTCCTGGTGTTGTCCTTCCTCACCTGGGAGCCAGAGCAGCAGGAGGTCCTGAAGCTGAGTAGGTGCCCTCATGTCCATGCTGTGACCTGACTGGCACTGATCCTTGCACAGGTTGAGAGAAGCCTGCTCTTAAGTGTGCATGTCAGTGGGCTGTGTCCTGGGTACATGTAATATAGCAGGGAAGTGATATCCTTGTGCAAAGCAGAAGAGCCCAGCTCATCTCATCTCTGAGCACAGGGGGAGTGTCTGCAGGCACCCAGGTCATCCCCCCTGCTGCACTCATTTACCTGTAGATAACACGATCCTCTCTGGACACATTATGTGACATAAGGCATTTGAGGGGCTGTTGACTAATCCTAAATGAACCGATGCACAAGATGGTGTCATCTACTTGTATTTCATGGCTTTGTTTCATTGTATAAGAGAACAAGTTATTTTTAGAGAATGTGCAGTACTATGTTATTGTATAATTTTATACATTCCTGCCCTCAAATTCTTCCCATACTTCACTTATTACGTACATATTTCTGAAGAGTGAAATCATTTCATTTAGTCTATTTAGAAAGAGAAGAAAGATTTACATATACTCAAGGGCCAATGTTTAATGACACTCAGACACCATTAGAATAATGAGAAGCAATGTACTGCACATAGATGCACCATAATATTGGAGAGGACTCTTATGACCAGAGGATAAATGGAGCACTTCTTTCCTGACATAAGGGCTTTTGCAATACAATTTTCTGCCATTTGCTGTCTTTTCTTGAACTTGAGCAGGATGAAGCTCTGATTCCTGATGTGAAATGTCATGAATGAACTATCATCAGTGTTTATGGTCATCTGTAAGTACCTGATTTAGAATCCACAAGACCCACAAGACCTGCCATTTCTTTGTTAGCGAGCAATAATACTGCAATTCTGTGAGAACATTTTATTGGTTTGCAAACAGACCTGCTCTACCAAAGGGAAGGTTGACATGACTGTCCCTATGACCTCCAGGGGAAGCCATTACCCCTTAGATTTAGTATGAATGGGGGATTAGGGAGGACTTGAGACTCAACAGTCCTGGTCTACCCTCCTGAGAAATGGCTGATTTTCTACTTTACACTTGAATTTTTATTTAAAGGATGGATAACCCTGGGAATACAAAGTAAATAAAAGTATGTCATTATAAATTTAGAGAGGAAAATTACAAAAGGAAAAGAGATGGTGGATGGGAGTGTGAGAAATCAGAAGGAATAGTAGGCAGTTAGGGTCTCCTATTCCCTGGTAAAATTATCCTTTAAAATTAAAAATGGGACTTTCCCCTATTTCCATAAAGGGACAGAATCAAAATCAATCTCCATCTCTTAGAGCTGATGTCACATCAAAAGCAAGGAGACATGGCCCACATTCAACTCTGGGTCACTGTCAAAGGAATGGCACTTTAGCTTTCAGCTTATCTTCAGAATGGGAGAATAAAGCACTGAGTCTCACACTTTTATTTTGAGTGAAGTGGTAGACACTACTGCCCCTTGCAAATAAGCTCTTCTTTCTGCCTTTGGGGTGACTCATGTGAACCCCCTGCCTGAGATGGTACATAAACGACACAATTTCCTCCATTACCTCGGGTGTTATACTCATCTTTCCTCTCTTGGAGGCCCCTCTTGTTGCTATGACAGGAGACTTCTCCCTCTTTCTTAAATAAATCTTGCTTTGTAGACTAGAGTTGTCCACATAAAATTCTCCTTTTCTGTGAGAAAAGAGGTTGTTGTTTAGATGTCCAACCACAAAATGGGAGATCTTTGCACACTACACAGGAGATAAGGGACTAATCTCCAGAATATACAAAGATCTCTAGAACAACCAAAACAACAAAACAAACCATTCAAGAAATGGGCACAGGAAATGGACAGACACTTTATAAAGGAACAAATACAAATGGCAAACAAACATACGAACAAATGCTCAAGCCCTTTGGCAATAAGGGAAATCCAAATTAAGACATCACTGAGGTACCACCTAACGCCAGTAAAAAATGGCTCACATACAAAAACCAACCAACAACACTTGCTCGTGAGCATATAGCGAGAAGGGAACCCTATTCCACTGCTGGTAGGAATGCAGGTTAGTGCAGCCTCTATGGAAATCAATATGGAGAATGCTCAAACAACTGAAAATCTGCAAACTATATGATCCAGCAATAGCACTTCTAGGAATACATCCAAAACACCTGTTACATGAGAAACTAACATGCACCCCTATGTTCATAGCAGCACAATCAATAATTGCAAAAACTTGGAAGCAACCAAAATGCCCATTAACAGAAGACTGGATAAGAAAGCTATGGTTCATCTACTCCATGGAACGCTACTCAGCTATTAAAAAAAAGAAATGCATTTTTTCGTGGCCAAATGGGCCCAATTGGAAACCATTATGCGAAGGGAAATGAGCCAATCCCAAAAGGTTAGATACCACATGTTTGCCTTAATTTGAGATGAAATGATGTCAATACTAAAAATAGTACTTGCAAATTGTAACACTATTACACTCTCAAACAGCCTGTATCACATGCAATAAGATATTGTGATGTAATCAATGAACCAATAACCAATGAGACAGACTGCTTATGAATTACATCAAAGAATTGAAAAACCTGGTATGTCTTTAATACCTTATGTTATTTCGCAACGTGTCGGGAGAGCAGAGATATCTTCCACCTTCTTAGAGTGAGTGAGGAAGACGTTAAGTATAATCTATCAAGATTGTAACAGGTAACTTACAGACAGCAGACTCAAATCTGCATTAGACATCAGCAAAAACTATAAAGACATACAGTGGGATCCAAGAGCAATCCTGACAGCCTCTTAACAGGAGGTCATATGCACAGAGCAGGAGGGGATCCCAGAGTGAAACAAGAGGATGGGGGAGGCTTGTATCCTAACCCCAGAGACTCCCAGTACCTCATCAAGGACCATCATTAGGGGCACCTAGGAATATATCCCAACTGTCAAGAAGATCACAGGGAATTGGAGTGCCCTTGTAGGCCAAGAACTCTGAGGTCAACCATTCCATATTGGATCTCCCAAACAGGATGGAAGAAGCCCACATCCTTCCTCACAGGCTCTAATGTCATTGGAACAACAGCTAGGAGCCCTGAACAGTCCTCAGAATCAGAAGAACAGTAAGCTTCCTCCAGGACTCAGGAGAGGAGCTTTCTTTGGTACTTACTTAGTTTCAACATTGGTTCTCTACCCTCTCTTGCAATGACCATCAGGATCACTCTGGAGCCCCCCAAATTAGATCAGATAGACAGATAGAGAGCAAGAAGGAAAGCTTTGAACATACAAAAAAAGTCAGCTTGGACTACCATATACCTTACTAGGTAGGACACAAAGATCAGATACTCTTCACTAAGATATTAAAGATTCCTCTGCACACCCCTCCTAAAACTGTTCTGCTCCTCAATAGTTAACATGACTTGTTAGAGTTATTAGCCTGTTTGGACTATCCTAAAATCACAAAGTTCAGTAAAAATCATGCTTGAATTCTATAAGCTGCTAAATATAATAATGAAAATAGACACGAGACAGCTGAACAGCACCCTACAACCATTTTTAGGTTTATAGCAGCTGGTTGTGTATACACTAAGATTGAGATGTCAAGGAAGTAGTTACAGGCTGTAGTTAAGAATTTGCATTTTCTAACATATTGGCCACTCCATACCATGTTAATTAAGTTCATGATGTTGCTAACTTCCATGTTTCTTCCTGTTGTTGAAGTTGTGTAGTAACAGCTCATTGGAGAGGATGATATTCTGCCAGCTCTACTTTCAGACCAAGGATAGTCTCCCAATGAAACTGTTGGAATTTATCTGGACAATAAGATGCTGGACTCTCCACATGATCCATACCTGCAATATGGAAATCATGACTGGTTATTAACTGTACTACTGTAACAATATAGAGGAATTCAATATGGGGGAATGTTTGGGGAGAGGTTGGGGGACTCCCAGAGCCTATGAAACTGTATCATAAAGTGAAACAATAAAAAAATTTAAAAATGAATATTAATCACAAGCTCAAAAAAAAAAAGAAAGAAAAGAGGTGGTTGCTCTGTTTTCGTTGAATTGCCTGAAACAATCTGACATTCCATTTTTCACCTGATGACTTTTGTTTCTTAACTGGAAACACAGCTCTGCGTCCTGGAAATGTTACTTTAAATGTGAGAAAGATTTTGGCAGAAGAGCTTAATTACAGTGTGGAGATAATCATGAATTATTTGGCTGAGAGTAATATCATATATTATAATATAACACTCTTTGTGAGAGTATCCTTCTTATAACAGAAAAGTTGGCCTAGGTCAGAGAAGAGGTGTGACAGTAGAGAAGGTTGTTGGAGTGAGGGGAGGAACCACAGAGCAGGACTCATGGGGCCAGGGAGGCCTCTGACCTCCCCAACTGGGATGACAGCACAGCATGTAACACTACGACATCGTCAACAATACAGAAATGTATAAATAATGTTTTTTAGCTAATACAAATACAGATAATTTCTTCTTCCCTCCAACCTCTGTATCTGACTAACTTTGAGATCATCACATGTCACTTTGTTCTCATTTGGTGTCAGCTTGGCAGAATTAGACAATAACTGATAAGGTGGGAACACAAATTCCTCTTAGAGGGAAAATCTCTTCTGTGGATTATGATGGTAACCTCTTGTCAATCAGGTGTGTGAGAGCCTAGGTCTCAGCTATCAGAGTAATTGGAGGAAGAAGTTCTGATTGGTTTGCTATTCTGGTTCCATATTAGAAGGAGAAAATAAGATTACAGATAATGTAAGAAGACAGCCTATCTGAGGGATGAGAAGGGACAGAGCAGATAAGGAAGGGGTCAGGGATGTGAGAGACTTCTTTCCCCACAAATCTGAAATGGAATCACCTGTGTCTGTGAAGGTTTTGGACAGTTGTTTGTTGCAGTCCATGCACGTGAGCACAAGAACCAAGGCAAGGACAGCCCTGACCATGCCAGGTTACAGTACCCACCAGCCTACATGTGGCTCAGGTCTGGGGACAGACCAGGCTTGGTCAGTTCACAACATCCACTGGCAGATCTGAGAACCAGGACAGGGTGAGAGAGAGGCCAAACTAGGCTGCAATGCCAGACATCTCACACTGGGGATGCTGAGGTGGCATCCTGGAGTCTGTGGGAACTGGGCAGGGGATCTGGTGTGACTTGAGTCACCTGGCCTGGTCCTGGGGCCCTCTGTGAGGTAGGTGCCAGGTTCATTAGCACCAGGGGCAGGGAATACAGCAGGACTCAGGGCCTTTGGCCTGGGTCCTGGCAGTGGCCTGCCGGAGATGCTGGGTTCAGGAGCCCAGGGGCTGGAGTCCGGCAGGGCTCAGGTCGCCTGGCCCTAGTCCCTTGGCCAGCCTGAGCAGTGGGTGCTGGTTTCATAAGCCCCGGGGTGGGGAATCCGATGGGGTTTGGGTCACCAGGCCCAGGTCTTGAGGCCCACATGCAAAGTGGGTGCCAGGTTCATGAGTCTCAGGGTTGAGGAATCTGGCAGGGCTTAGGTCTCCTGGTCCTGGTCCTTGGACCTCCCTGTGAGCAAAAAGGCAGGGGAGTGGACATAGACGCTGATGCACATGGAGAATATGGCAGCTCATTTGGTATCACACCAGAGGAAGGAAAACAGAGCAAATTGGACAATTAAACCAGCAAACAAGGGTACCAACAATCTGGGTGAATGGTGACTTGAGGTTGACTGTGTCAGTCAATGAACATTGGAAGGGTTGTCTCTCCCCTGATTTGGCAAAATTGACAGCATTTCAGAACTTTCCAAAGCAGTTGGTCAGAGCCCTCAGAACATGCACTACATCGGAATCCTGAGTTGACACTGGCTGGTGATTTCCCATGCCTGGGTACTGGGACATTTGGCAAGCTGGGTGTGGCTTCACCCTTTTAACTTTCCCATTCCTCCAGAGACAAGAAGAAATAGAGAATTTGGAAACAATGACTTTACCCACTTTTCCCTAACTCTCAATCCTTCCCTTCCTGGTCAACAATGTAACCATAATTTTAAAAAATGCAGATTTTTTAAAAAAATTTTAAAAAAGAACTGGAAGAAAAAAAAAAGAATACAACAGAGCAGCATGAAATTCACATCATCCCATTTTCTTGTTCTCTGTCTCTCTACTTATGGCCTCAAATAAGAGGTGAACATGGCCACAAGGAAGAAAATATTTAAACATATATTGGCCTAGGTTAAAGGTCCAGATCTCCATGCTAGTTCACCATGGGGCCGGGAGCAGACAATACAAGTTCCCTAAGATTTGAACGTCAGAGGATAAATCCAGTACATTCTTCTGCAATTGCAGGCAGACACAGGGATGGAAGATTAGGGATCTTGCTTGTGAGGCTGTGGGCAACTGAGTGTAGCAGCTCCAGGGCTGAGGATTACAGAATCAGTTCCTTCTGTGGCAGAGGGGCATTGGACTCGGGGAGTACAATAATCAAATGTTCCTATAATCACCATCTTTGATCAAAACATTCATACAAAATAAAAGGAAAATTATGATACTAATACACTCTGTTTAATGTTTTTCCTTGAAAATTTCATAATACTTACCTATTTACTGTATGAATCAAAAGCAATGCTGTAACATTGAGGAACACGTGTGCTAAGTATGAGGAAAAGAGAGGAGGGCTATAAGAGAGCCAAAAGGCTTTTTCTAACTATCTTCCAGGGACCATCAAGGCTAACTGCATCTGAGATCGACTCTTAGCACATAGAGATCCCAGGAGACAGCTGGGGCAGCACAGACTCATACACTTCTGCTTTCCTGGGTGGTTTTGTTCAGACTTCTTAGTATTATTAGCATAATTATAATAACTAGCAAAACAGTAATATGTTCCGACATCCATAGCCTGCAACCCATTGATGGTGAGGGTGAATGATGTATCAGATCCACTGCCCTTGAACCTCGAATCAACCCCATCGGCTAAATCGGATGCATAATAGATCAGAAGCTTTGGACGTTGCCATGGTTTCTGCTGATACCAGGATAACCAATTGCTAACACTCTGACTCGTCGTGCATGTGATGGTGACTGTGCCTCCCACCTTTGCAGACACCGTGGTTGGAGTCTGGGTCACCTCAAAGGCACATCTGGCACCTGAGAAGGGAAACACAAACACAAACATCCACTCTCATCATCATGTTCATACAGCAGAGACAGGAAGGTTCAGTCAGCACTGACCACACTGGCTGAATTCAGTTCCTGCTGTTGTCCATCCTCACCTGGGAGCCAGAGCAGCAGGAGCCCCAAGACTGAGCAGGCGCCCTCATGTCCATGCTGTGTCCTGACTGGCACTGACTCCTGCACAGGTTGAGAGAAGCCTGCTCATAAGTCTGCACCTCTGTGGACTCTGTTCAGGAAACATGCAAATCACCAGGCCATGTGGCAGTGATGTATAAAGTGATGTACAAAGATGATAATCCCTGCCCCTCCCCAGCACAGTTCAAAGGAGTGTCTCTGCTGTCCCAGACCAAACCAGCGCAACATTCTTTCACCTTCAGAGAACAAGGTTTTACCAGGGCACTTATACCACAAAAGGGGTTTAAGAGACACTTGCTATTAAATGAAAAATAAGACATCATATTAATCTCTATTTTTATTTCCAGGTCATGGGTGAATAATTGCAGAACAACTTCGTTGGTTGGGAATGTGCAGTGACACCTTAGACAGCATAGATATCAAACTCTCAGATTGCCCATCATTGTTCTACTGATCTACTTAGCACCTGTGCATTTCTTGGAGAGTGAAATTGTTCCATTTGTTCAACTTAGAAAAGAGCTTATAGAGTATCTCCAATACACTCAGAGGCCAAATTGAAACGGCACTAAGCCTAATAAAAATTAATAATGTGAAGGAATCCATTGAAGAGAGATTCACCATAATCCAAACTAGAGGGCACTTATGTTCAGAAGCTAAATGGGCCCGCTCTTACTGTGGACTTGGCATCCTCTGCAGTACTACTTTCTGCCAGGTGGGGTCATCGCCTGAAGTTCATCAGAGTAAACCTCCCACTGTTAGATAAAAGGTAATGAATGCAATCATCAGTGTTTGAATTCACTGTGGAAACCTGATTTAGGATCCACAAGCTCCTCTGAATGAATGCACACCTACATCAACTTCCTGCAAAGATGAAGAAAACCAGCAGGGCGTACCCTGTGATTTTCTCTGAGCTGCCTCTCTACCAGCATGTCTCTGGACTCTGGTACTGGAGACCAGCTGAGCAGCTAGTCCAGGAGCAGACCAAAATACCGACCCTCTCTCCTAGGTGACAGTCACCTCTGATGGGGCCTGTCCTCCTCAACATGCACTTTTACACTACATCAGTGAGAGGACAGCACTCACCACTCCCTACCCACCTTGTAAGGCTCAGCATTATGCATGGAGAAATAGCTTAGATTTCAGTAAGCATAGACCCAGATTGGCAGTCCTGTTTCTCATATCTTGACTTTGGCTTTAGTTGGCCAGTCTGGTCAATAAAAGGTGACCTGGTAGTTACTACCTCAGTGACACAGAGCTGGGGACAAAGGAGGTGGTAGGTATTACTGAGGACCAAGCACAGGTGACTAGATCATGGGATGGAACCGCTGCCAAAACCTCCTGTTGCACATCTGGATGACTTGTGGGTAAAGAAAATGCTGATAAATTGCCTTTGAGGTTCTGAAGGCAAAGAACTGCATTTCAAGACTGAATCCACACATCTTTTAAGGAGGAGGGTAGCAGGGCCCACCCATCTCCTGTCGCTGGTCCTCAGGTGATATGGTCTCAATGCCTTTAGCTCTGTGGCCACAGATCTTCCTTTGTAGTTTTGAATTCTGATTCAGAAGAAAGCACAAATAAGCATGATACCTGATATTTTGAGGTGCACAGCAATCCCAACACAAAAGAAAATGAGGTCTTATTTCTACATCATTAGAATTCTACAGTAAATTTAGGAAAGCATTTGGCAGATGGATTAGCTAAACAACCATCTGGAGATTCTCCAGAATTATCTGGCTGAGAGAGGCTTCATGAAATAGAACACAATACAATTCCCATCCAGATAGAGAGCCAGGCCAAGATACAAGGTCAGATGTGTGATGGAGAAGGTTCAGAAAGTGAGAAGGGTGGCAAAGAGCAGGACACATGGGCATCCTGAAGCTTCAAGAACAGGAAGCTGAATCCTCCACTCTGGAGATGGTAGAAGGAGCACAGACCTGCATCATTCTAACAGGGCCTTAATCTCCTGAACTGTGACAACAGATCTGTGGGATGTGATGTCAAACAAATGCAACAAGGTATTACTGGTAATGAGTTGAGCTGGCTGGCAAGTGCATATAATTTCTATTACCTCCTTGAGTGGTTGACTGACATGTGAGATCATCACATGACACATTGTTCTCATTTGATGTGGGTTCTAAGAGGAGATAGACAACAAGAGGAGATAGTTGAATGTGATGAGAGGGAACAGAATTCCTCTTAGAAGGAGAATCTCTTGAGTGAAACATCTTTGTGACCTCATGTAGTCCAGGAATGTGAGAGCCCTGTACTCAGGTATCAAACTCTGTAAATGTAGAAGGAGCTTTTGATTTGCTTGCATATCTGTTTCCACATTAGGAAGATAAAATAAAAGTACAGAAAACATGAGAGTTCAGGACTGAGTCCAAGGGAAAGGAAGGGACAGAGGAGATAACAGGATCAGGGATATGTGACATGCCCCTGTCCAGCAATATGAAATAAAGTCATTGGGGTTTGTGACAGTTTGGGACAGGCAAAATTGCGGAGAATAACTTTAAGATACAAGTCAGCATGGAGTTAAATAAGCCAGCAGAAACCATGAGTTTCACTTCACTCTGGATTGGTCTTGTGCCTTTGTTGTATTCTACAGCCTCAAACATGGAATGGCACAGCCATGTGGGAATAAAACAATTAAATATAAGCTTGTAGTGTTAATATCCTAGCTATTCATACACCAACACCATGGAGCATAAGACAAGTGCACTGAGATGTGAAAGTCGGGAGAAGAGAATTCTGGGCTAGGCATGTGCACCTGTAGACAGAAACACAATGTGAAGACCGGAGAACCTCCCGTGAGTATGGCAAGCATCTGAGAGATTCTGCTCCAGGGCTGACGACCACAGCATTCAGGTGACTGTTAACTTTTTTGTCTGAGGGGTATTACTGGATTCTTAGAGAGCATAGAGTCCCAAATTTCCACTATCACCATCTCTAACCCACAGAGGTCTTGAAGACTGAAGTTTGTAGTTTATTCTAATAAAATGTATGAAACTGTATTACTGCTTGGAATATCTACAAAGCATTTTTTATTTTTGCTCTCTTAGTCAGTAAAGACACTCTCAGATGCAGTGGTCAGAACAGATCTTCAATAATATGTCCAGAAAGCAGCAGACAGGTACCCAGGTCCTTGGGTTCCTGCCACATACTTGGTGCGTGGGATAGGTCCAGAATGGTTTGTCCTGGCCAGGTCCAGATGTCATACTAATCTGGGAAATAAACTTCTGATCTCAGTCTCTCTCTCTGTTTCTCTCTCTCTCTCTCTCTTTCTCTCTCTCTCTCTCGGTCTCTCACTCTCTCTCAATATGTGTATTTTCTTCCCTATAAGGCTCAGTCTTTAGTGTGAATAAATAAAAATTTTGAAAAATGGTGAGGAATATCCAGATAGAAAATTTTCACTTGAAATAAATATGAAACACAGTAACACATCCTGCAAAAACTGGGCTCCATTTTTCAGGTATCTGGGGTTAGAGCACTGATTCCTGTTACTGACCTGCAGGTCAACTGGTTTCATGTGTAGCAACTAGAGACATTTTAAACGCTCTTCTATCAGTGAGAGGACAACTTGTATGTTGCACCATTAATGAGCCTGCCTCTCGGTTCAATTTTCAGGAAGCATAGGAGTGGAACAGCCCTGATCCATTCCTTCTTCCACTGCCCCTCCCCTGTCCATCCTGCCACAGGAGGATGCACTAGGTGGATGAGGACACACACTGCCCACTGGCCCCTGCAATGGCATTGCTGCAGAGGAGGTCCCTCACACAGAGCAGAATGGGAACAGAGGCAGCACATGCGTTGTCTTTATTATCTGTGCTGGCAGCAAAAATGAAAGATGCATGAGATAAAGGGTTCCATTTGATTTTTCAAGACATTCTACATACAACAGAGTCTGTAATAATGCTATTTGTTTGCAGCCATTGATACTGTTATTGGTACAAATGTGTGAGAGTACTCTGTTTCATTTAGAATACAGACCTGCTCTGTATTCTAGAGGGAAAGCTGACATGATTTCCTCTATGAACTCCAGGGGGAGCCATTACCCCTTAGATCTGGTAGTGAATGGGGAATTAGGGAGGACTTGAGTCTCAACAGCCCGGGTCTAGCCTCCTAAGGAACAGTGGATTTTCCATTTTCTACATGAAAATTTTATTTAGAGAATGGATAACTTTGGGAATATGAAGTAAATCCAAAGTATGTCATTATAAAGATTAAAAAGGAAAATAACAGAAGAAGAAGGAGAGATGGTGGGAGCGAGGGTGGATAGAGAGGGAAGAATCACAATACTCTTAAAACTATTTGGAATACGTGCAGTGAGTTCCCTTTGTATAGATATATGTTAAAGCAAAATAAAAGTTTGTAAATATTTATTTATTATACTTCAGAATCAGAATTAGAGAGAAGGAGAGCCAAAAGATGTTTCATCTTCAAATTCATTTCCAAATGATCACAAAAACCAGAGATGGGCTGAACCGAAGTTGGAGGCCAGGAGCTTTTTCTGGCTCTCCTGTGTGGGAGCACTAGCCCAAGATCCTGTCCATCGTCCACTGCATTGCCAGTTCAAGAACAAGCAGCTGAGCAAAAGTGGAGCAGCTGGGATACAAAGCCAGCTAGGACTAGCCTGATATGCCACCGTTATGGTACCGTGAAAAGTATTTAAAGAATAATAATAAAGTGATTGACAAAAGGAATAGTATCAGAGTGATTCACAAGTGTACAGTGATGTATTACTTTGAAAGCAGCTTTGAGCTAAGGAAAATAATAGAAGTGGTATGGATTTAGTGCAGCAGCTTCAATGGACCAAGAGGATCTTCAAATATACAAAACAGATCAAAAGACTCTGAAAGATACCAACATTCAGGCACTGTCTTTGCTAACCAGTAATATTCATACACTCTGTGAACTGATACCATATGAACATGAGTCTTTAAAAAAAAACACAGGAAATTCACATTGTAACTAATTAAGCATGATTTCCAACTTCTTTTAGTAGCAAAACAAGATTAGCCACTATATTTATTTTGCTATGAACTTAATGAAAACTCCAGTAAGTTTAAAATTTGTAAAAGTACATGCTCATAATCACATCTATTTTGTGACAGGTTATTTAGGCTTACAAACTGATTTGAGATAGTGCTGTTGTTATGCAGTTTGAGTCAGGAGACCTTGCTGGATTTACCTCTAAACTGCACCTTTCAATTGGGCCCTGCTCCTTTGCAAGGCATAATATCATGTTTCCTTCAGTGATGACATCTCTGCCTCCTCCTTCCATTGTTGGTCTCTGTGACTCCTCACAGGGGCCCTGGGATTCTCATTCTCCTTGTACTTTGCAGAGGCTGTACAGGCCCAAGGCTGCCTGCTCAGAGCTCTGACAATGGGCTTTCCTGGGGGCGGGGCATGAGTGCATCCCAAAGGAGACTAAGTAGAAAGAAGGGGCTGCAGCAAAACTCCTCATCTTCCAGGGGATCCAGGAGATCCAGATCCTTGGTAAGCATTTTCAAGCAGTAAACAACATTCTAATGATGTAAAATGCATCATGCAACCTTCAACCACTCATGTGAGCAGTCTGATATATTCTAAAGAGTAAGAAAACTTACATTTCCTGGATTTGCATTCTAAGGTATTAGTGATGCATTGTGTGGTCACTGCCCATTCCTTAAGGCTGGTGCTCGTGGAGACATCAGCATGACTCAGTCGCCAAACTCCCAGATGGTGTCTGCAGGAGAGAAGGTCACCATCAACTGCAAGTCCAGCCAGAGTCTCTTATCCAGTTAACTCCAGAAGAACGAACTAGCCTGCTAGCAGCAGAAACCAAGACAGCCTCCTAACCTCTTCATTTACTGACATCCATCTGAGCAACTGGGGTCCCTGAGAGATTCAGGGGAAGCAGCTCCGGGACAGATTTCATCTCAGCAGCAGCAGCCTCCAGGCTGAGAACGTGGGACATTAGTATGGTGGGCAATATGAAAGCAGCCTCCAATATAAGATTCAGCCTCCAACACCAACTTCCTCCCCAGGGCCACAGGGGAGTGAGCTCCTGCTGTCCCAGCTGCTTCCTCCCTGCCCTGCCCTGTCTCTCCCTTGTCTGTAGAACAGACCCCATCTCCTACTTCACTGTGGAGCATGAACTAGCATCCAGAGAAGGCTGAGTGGAGCAGCCTCTCCTGGGTCTTTTACACAAGGAATCCAGGTTATAAAGACTCTCTCCCTCTGGGTACATCAGAAAATTTCAATCTCAGCACTGCGCTTTCAAGCTCTTCCAGATTCCCACAAGAACTCACCCTGTGTCTTGGGCAAAACTACCCATGTGCCATGAGATTTGAATGTCAGAAGACAAATTCTGAATCATTCACCTGCACAAGCTGGCTCACCCATAGGCAACATTGAGGACAGGGGAGCCCCCTGGGAGGCTGCAGGCAGCTGAGAGCATCAGCTGCAGGGCTGAGAACCACAGGTTTCGTTGATTGTTCCCTCTGTGGCAGAGGGGCATTGGATTCTGAAAGAACACAGAATCCCATATTTCTACAAACACTGCCTCTTATCCACATATTTTGACAATGTTCAAATCTATAACTTGGATTTTAACAAACTGTGTTTAATATTTCTGCTTGAAATATTCAAAATGATTAATCTTTTACTGTATGACTCCAAAAGAAAGTTGTAATGTTGAGTACTCAGACATAGCATTTCTTTCCTTTAGTTTGGTAGAAACATGGATACATCAGTGCTGCAGGCATCTAGTGAGAGAAAACAGGAGGCTACAAAGGATCCCCAGGGGCCTTTCCACGTATTTTGCAGGGACTATGGAAGATTGATTGCATCTGAAAATAACTCTTTGCAGATAGAGGCCACATAGCAGGAAGCTGGAGGAACCCAGACTCACGCTTCTGCTTTCCTGTGTCTTTTTGTTCAGGCTGTATCACTGTGTTAGTACTACTACTCCAACTATAATCAGCAAAACAGTAGTAGATTCCAGCATCCTCAGCCTGCACAGGGTTGATGGTGAGAGTGTATGATGTCCCAGATCGACTGCCCTGGAACCTCGAATCGACCCCAGGGGCTAAACTGGATGCAAGGTAGATCAGGAGCTTTGGATGTTGCCCTGGTTTCTGCTGATACCAGGATAGATCATTGTCAACATCCTGACTCGTCTTGCAATCGATGGTGACTGTGCCTCCCACCTTTGCAGACACCGTGGTTGGAGTCTGGGTCACCTCAAAGGCACATCTGGCACCTGAGAAGGGAAACACAAACACAAACATCCACTCTCATCAACATGTTCATACAGCAGAGACAAGAAGTTTCAGTCAGCACTGACCACACTGGCTAAATTCAGTTCCTGCTGTTGTCTTTCCTCACCTGGGAGGCAGAGCAGCAGGAGCCCCAGGAGCTGAGCAGGCATCCTCGTGTCCATGCTGTGTCCTGAATGGCGCTGACTCCTGCACAGGCCATTAGCAGCCTGCTCTTAAGTGTGGAGGTCAGTGGGCTGTGTCCTGGGCACATGCAAAATAGCAGAGGAAGTGGCAATGCTGTTCCAAGCACAAGAGCCCAGCTCATGTCATACTTGAGCACAGGGAATGTATCTGCAGGCACCCAGGTCATCCCCTCTGCTGCACTGATACCTATAGATAACACGATCCTCCTAAGACACAGTATGTGACATAGACATTTGAGGGGCTCTTGACAAGCTCTTAATTATCTGAAGAACAAAATGGCATCATCTGTTTGTATCTTATACTTGTGTTTCAGGTTACAGGAGAGCAACCTATTGGTTGAGAGTTTGCAGTGCCTTAATATACAGAATATCTATCAATTCCACAGCCAGACTTCAAATTCTTCCCATGCTGTACTTATTACTTACACATTTCTGGAAATCTGAAACTATTTCATTTACTCTATTTAGAAGTGAGGGAAAATGGGGTTCATACATATATTGTGGAGCCAATGTGTAATGGTGCTCAGATACTTTTAAGTCTAAATACTTAGAAATAATTTGCTGCAGATGGATACACAATAATATAGGAGAGGGCTCTTGTGCCCAGATACTGTCTTGACATGAGGGCCTCTGCAATACAATTTTCTGCCATTGGCTGTCTTTTCATGAACTTTTTCAGCAAGAAGCTCTGACTACTACTGTGAGATGCCATGACTGCACCTGTCCTCAGTTTCTGTATTCTTCTCTAAGTATCTGGGTTAGGTTGTACAACTACGCCATTAGAAGATTTGACTCCAAGAAATCTCTGTACAAGACAAAAGAAACGTCAGGGGAGTCTCCTGGTTAGTTTAGCTGAGCTGCAGTACCAAAACTGGGGCTCAAGTAGACCATCTCTGGAACCTGGAAGTTACAGAGCAGGTGAGGAGCTAGTCCAAAAGAAAGACTAATTTATAAACACAAATAACTTATATGAGGGTACCTGCTGCTTGGTGCAGGACTAGCTCATGCACTGAAAGTGCCTCATTTCTCTTCCTATCTTTACTAGAGTAAAGGGAGGGTGGGAACATTCGCCTTCTCCCTGCCCAGGAGTCTCCATTGTGCCAAGCTAGTGCCAATAACATGAGCAATATTTTGGTTCTTGATTCTCACACCTGTATAGCACATTTCAATCTTTGCTCCAGTCACTCAGTCTGCATCACTAGATATGACAAGGAGGTGACTATCTCAGTACCAAGGAGCTGGGAACAGGGTGGAATTGGTCGGGTATTACTAAGCATGCGCACAGCCACATTACAAACTCCAGCCTTCCACCTGAGATCTGAACTATAAGAGAACCTAGTAGCACAGAGCCTTCCACGACTGGAGAGACGAAAACTCCCTTTCAGATGGTATACACACATCATTTGTGGGGCAGTATAGCAATACTACACCATCCTTCCCCTTCACTGTTCTCTGCTGACTCCTTCCACTCCTGCCTGGGCTACACTTTGCTCTCTCAGCTGAGGAGGCAGCTCAGCCTGCACACATGCAAACCACAGGGCCTGGGATGAGCAGTCCTAGGGAACCCTCTGTGCCAAGAACCCCAACTCCCTCACTCTCAAATCTGTCAACCCTGAGGCTTTTCCTACTTGCAGGCAGACACAAGGATGAAGGAGTGGGGAACCACCTGTGAGGCTGCAGGAAGCTGAGAGCATCAGCTCCAGGGATAAGGACCACAGTGTCAGTTCACTGAACCTTCTCTTGCAGAAGGGATTTAAATAAGGAGAGAACACAAACGTTCATGTATCTGGGATTACCGTCCCTGATCCCAACATTCCCAGAACATTAAAGTATAATTTGAAATCTGGTAAACTCTGCTTAATGTTTCTGCTTGAAATGTCCAAACAATTACATTTTTACTGTTTAAATCAAAAAGCATACTGTAACATTGAGTGCTCAGGTGTAATCAGTTCTTCCTTTTAAATCAGGAGAAACATGGGCATTTAAGTGATGCAGTTAGCAGCTAGAAGGAAAAGACCAGGTACCCTCAAAGACTGACTATGTCAGAGAATGACTCTAAGCAGAGACAGGCTCCAGAAACAGCAGCTGGGGCAGCACAAACTCACACTTCTGCTTTCCTGATGGCTTTGGTACAGAACTGTATCACTGTGAGAGTACCATTACTATCACTATAATACCCTTGACAGTAGTAGATTCCAGCATCCTCAGCCTGCACCCCGTTGATGGTGAGAGTGTATGATGTCCCAGATCTACTGCTCTTGAACCTGTCAGGGACCCCATCGTCTAAAGTGGATGCATAATAGATCAGGAGCTTTGGAGGTTGCCATGGTTTCTGCTGAAACCAGGCTAACCTATTGTTGCTGCTAACACTCTGACTCGTCGTGCAATCGATGGTGACTGTGTCTCCCACCTTTGCAGACACCGTGGTTGGAGTCTGGGTCACCTCAAAGGCACATCTGGCACCTGAGAAGGGAAACACAAACACAAACATCCACTCTCATCAACATGTTCATACAGCAGAGACAGGAAGGTTCAGTCAGCACTGACCACACTGGCTGAATTCAGTTCCTGCTGTTGTCCTTCCTCACCTGGGAGGCAGAGCAGCAGGAGCCCCAGGAGCTGAGCAGGGGCACACTCATGTCCATGCTGTGTCCTGAATGGCACTGGCTCCTGCACAGGTTGAGAGCACCTGCTCATAAGTGTGCAGGGCAGTGGGCTGTGTCCTGGGCACATTTAAATAGCAAAGGAAGTGATATTCTTGTGCCATGCAGAAGAGCCCAGCTCATTCATAGCTGAACACATGGGAAGGAACTACAAGCACCCAGGCTGCACACCATGCTGCCCTCAATTACCTACAGAGTACACAACCTTCTCTGGACACATTATGTGACATAAGGCATTTGAGGGGCTCTTGACAAAATCTAAAAGACCCCAAGGACATGAGGGAGTCATCTACTCTTGTTTAATTAGCTTTATTTCATTTTACAGAAATACTTGTTATCATGCAATATACAATACCATTCTATATGATAAGTATTTCAATTCCTCACCCTGCCCTCAAATCTTTCAATGCTTTACTTACTACTGACACATTTCTAGGAGTCTGAAATTGTTTCGTTTAACTTATTTAGAAAAGAGAAGAGGGCTTTATATATCATCAGGTGCCACAATATTAACACTCAGACACTGTTACCATCTGAACGAGAAGCAATTTACTGCAGAAAGATGCACCATAACACAGGAGGCTTTTATGCCGAAACTAAATGGGCTGTCCCTTTGTTGACATGAGGACCTCTGCAATACAGTTCTCTGCCATTGGCTGTCATTTCCTGAACTTCACCATGAAGCGCTGAATACTGGTGTGAAATTCAATGATTACAACTATCATCAGTGTTTGCATTCATCTGTAGCCTCTACCTGAATCAGGATCCACAAGACACATTAGAGGAGTTCATATTCGGAAAAAAATTCTCTCCAAAAGACAAAGCCACAGGGGAGTCTCCTGGTTAGTTTCACTGAGCTGCAGTATCTACCACTGGGGCTCAGGCGACTGTCTCAGGCACCTGGCACAAGGAGAACAGGTGAGGAGGTAGCCCAGGTGAAACACAAATTTGTTAAAACATCTAACTTAGATGACAGTACCTGGTGTTTGGTGCAGGATCAAGTCATGAACTCAAAGTGCCTCCTTCCACTTCTACTCTTCATCAGGATCAGGACAGGATGGGGGCACTCGCCTTCTCCCTGCCCAGGAGTTTCCACTTTGTCATGCTAGTGACAGTAACCTGAGCAATCCATTGGACTGCAACAGACTTGGGACCAGGTTTGCACCCTCTGTGTCTCACATCTTGAGCTCTGCTCCAGTCGTGCAGTCTGCATCACTACCGTATGACAACAAAGTCACCCTCTCAGTGCCAGGGGTCTGTGGACTGGAGAGGTGGTGGGTATTACTGAGGCATGAGCACACGTGACCAAACTATAGTGTAGCCACATCACAAACTCCTGCTGCCCTTTGGAGTCTCATTTGAAAGGGAACCTAGTAGCACCGAGCCTACCAGTATCAGAAGGAAGAAAACTGCCTTGTCAGATAAATTATACACATCATTTATGGGGGACGATAGCAGGATGACCACAACCTAAAAAGAGAACCACATGACAGAACAAGAAGTTGTTAATTTCCCTTTAAAGCAGGATCTCGAGATCCATGGACAACTACCGCCAGTCAAATGGTTACAGCATAATTCCGATTGAATGGAGACTGTAAGGTTGACTATCTCAGCCAATGGACAAGGGAAGGATTGAAACGTCCTTGGATCAGTGAGCTTGACAGCACTTCACAACAATTAAATTCACCTGGGCAGAACCCTCAGAGTGCACAGAAAATTGGGACCCTGGGTTGATATCAGCTGGTGATTCCCCATCCCAGGAACTGAGGTGGTGGGGAGGCTGGTTATGGTTTCTCCCCTTATATCCTCCCTTCTCCCAGAAGCTGGAAGAAAATTTTGATACAGTGATCACACCCACTTTTTTTTTAAGGATTTATTTTTATTATTTTTTTATTGGAAAGGCGGATATACAGAGAGGAGAGAGAGAGAGGAAGATCTTCCATCCGATGATTCACTCCCCAAGTGAGCGCAACAGGCCGATACTATGCCAATCCGAAGCCAGGAGCCTCTTCCGGGTCTCCCACGCGGGTGCAGGTTCCCAAAGCCCTGGGCCGTCCTCGACTGCTTTCCCAGGCCACAAGCAGGGAGCTGGAAGGGAAGCAGGGCTGCCGGGATTAGAACCGGCGCCCATATGGGATCCCGGGTGTGCAAGGCGAGGACCTTTAACCACTTGCGCCACCGCGCCGGGCCCCACACCCACTTTTTATTATCATGGGATCCTTCCCAACCTGATCAACTGCATAAACTTCATCAAAAATAAAAAAGAAGGGGTTGTGATATTTGCATATTTGTTTCCACATAGGAGGGTAAAAATACAACGACAGAGAACATGACAGGACATGACTGAGTCCTTGGGATGAGAAGGAACACAACAGATGAGGAAAGGGTCAGGGATGAGCGATGTGCCGGTGCCCACAATCATTCACTGGAACCACCTGTGGTGTGGGAAGCTTTTGAGAGTTTTCTATGGCAGGCAACAGTGCAGAGAGGGCTGGCTTTAAGATGGGAGTCAATACAGATGAAACACAGGCAGCAGCAACAACAGGTTTCTCTTCATTCTGGATTTGTCTTGTGCCTTTGCTATAAATGACAGCTTCAAATATGGAGTGAACATGGCCATGTGGAAGGAGATATTTAACAATGTATTGGCCTGGGGCCCGGCGGCATGTCCTAGCGGCTGAAGTCCTCGCCTTGAACGCGCCGAGATCACATATGGGTGCCGGTTCTAGTCCCAGCAGCTCCTGTTCCATCCAGCTCCCTGCTTGTGGCCTGGGAAAGCAGTCGAGGACAGCCCAAAGCCTTGGGATGCTGCACCCTTGTGGGAGACCTGGAAGAAGTTCCTAGATCCTGGCTTCGGATCAGCATAGCTCAGGTATTGTGGCATGTGGGGAGTGAATCATCGGATGGAAGATCTTCCTCTCTGCCTCTCCTCCTCTCTGTATATCTGACTTTCCAATAAATAAATAAATCTTTAATATATATATATGCCTGGATTCAAATCTCAAATATCCACACTTGTTCGCCATGAGTCTTCATGCAAAAACACATAAGCTCTGAGATGTGAAAGTCCCCAGAAGGGAATTCTATACCATCCATAGGCACCTGCAGGCCAACCCAGGCATGGAGATGAGGACTGGAGAACACAGCCTTGCTCTAGGTGAAAGCTGAGCCTCGCCTGCAGGGGCAGATTGACATGTTCCCCATATTGCCTCCAGGGGGAGCCATTGCCCCTTAGATCTGGTAGGAATGGGAGATCTGTGAGAACTTGAGACTCAACTGTCCTGGTCTACCCTCCTGAGGAACAGCGGATTTTCTACATTCTAAGTGTTGTATTTTTTATTTAGAGGATGTATGACTTTGGCAATGTAAAGTAAATTAAAATTATGTCACCATAAAAATGAAAAGGAACTGACCTCAGATAGACAGAGACCAATAAGAAAAGCTTAGAACAGACAGGAAACAGTCAGCTTGGACTCCCATTTACCCTGCGAGGTAGGACACAAAGATTAGGTACTACTCACTAAGGTATTGAAGATTTCTCTGCACACCCCTCCTAAAACTGTTCTGATCCTCAATTGACAAAATTTGGCATGTTTGAGTTATAAACCTGTTTGGACTATCCTAAAATTTGTGAAGTTCAGTAAAAATCAAGCTTCAATACTCTAAGATGCTAAATATAAAAATGAAAATAGACACAAGACAACTGAATAGTACCCTATAACTATTTTAAGATGTATAGCAGCCGGTTGTGCATTAAACTAAATGAAGTAGTCACAGGATGTGGTTAAAAACTTGCATTTTCTAATATACTGGTCACTCAATACCATGTCAATTAACTTCATGATGTTGTAAATTGCTGTTGAAGTTGTGTAGTGGCTTTTCATTGGAGGGGATGATATTCTGCCAGCTCTACTTTCAGACCAGGGATGGTCTCCCAATGAAACTGTTGAATTTATCTGGACAATAACATGCTGGGCTCCCTACATGGTCCATGCCCGCAATGAAGGAATTATGACTGGATATGAACTATACTACTGCAACAATATGGAGGAATTCAATATGGGGGGAGGGCTTTTTGGAGGGGTTGGGGGAATCTCAGAGCCTATGAAGCTGTGCCATGGAATGAAATAAAAAATAAAGGAAGTTAACTGTAGAAGGATCTGTGATGGTGTGGGAGGAAGGGAAGGTAGAGTGAGAAGAATAACTAGACTCTTCAAATCTCTGTATTAAATACCTGAAATATGTCCCTTTGCATAGGTTTATTTTAAAGCAACAAATTATTAAATACATATTTTTTTTGTACTCAGAGTCAAAATTACACAGAGAGAGGGAGAGCTGCAGAGATCATTCATCTACTGAATTACCTTCCAGATGATCACAACAGAAGGGATGGCCTGATCCAAAGTTGGAGGCCAGGGGCTTCTTCCTGATCTTCTATGTGGGGACACTAGCTCAGTGTCCATCCTCCACGGCATTCCCAGGTGACAGAGCTCTTGATCAGAAGTGGAGCGCCTGGGATACAAATCAAGCAAGGAGGACTAGCGTGATTTGCCAGTGCAACAGTCACATCAAAGGTATTAAAAACTAAACTAAAATAAAATAATAAACTCCATTCTATTTTTTTTCCTTGATTCACATTGCTTACATTTTTTATATAGGAATGTTGGGATTTTTGTGGGGATCAAGATGGCAGAAAATGTAAGGACATGTTTAAACGGACGGAGAAATATTTAATCAGGATGAAGCACAGAGGGCACATTCCAGGAAATAGGAGAAGAAAGAACCACAGCAGAGGGGCTCCTGTAGACTGACAGACATGGGAAAGCAACAAAAACAATGCTGTGGTCTTGCAATGACTGATACTCCTGTGGCTTTCGGCTAATGACAATCTGAACTCCACTAGCAACCAGGTAGGAAGGGTTTTAACTGGGAGCTTGGGTGGTGAACCCAGACAAAGAACTGTCTGTCCTGCTGGTATGTTTGATTGGACCAGGAGCAGAGACAAAGCAGCACATCCCAGACAGTCAGTCCAGGCACAGGGTGGATTTCACAGCCCACTCAGCTCCCTAGAGCTGAATTGGAAATCATTTTGCTTAAGGAAGCAAAGGCAAGAGAAAGGACTGAGCTGGGTGTAAACTCATTTCTTAACTCAGTGAACTGCAGCAACGTGGCATTCTACAGGTTCCACCCAAGACACGTAGCATTCAGACATGACAGCCGATCAAAAACGCTTTTGAGGGCATGTCAGGTGCGATTTTGTACAGTGTGCCAAAAGTTTTAGGACTGCAGGGAACAACAGTGAACTGTGCATGTGCTAGCTTGCAGGAACTCACTGAGTTCAATGTATTGCACTTGTCCCACAGGAAAATAATACTGACTGTGGCATCGTATCGGTCAAAATTGGTCCGTGTGGCACCAAGACCTAACAGCCAATGGGTTCCAGAAAGATCAGCACCAACAACAACCTAGCTATATAGGACACCTAATCCTAATCCTGGGACCTGCTCCAACCGGAAGTGGGAGAAAGTTGGCAGAGACAACAGTGCAACCTCAACATGACACCACAGGAGGTAGAGACTGGTGAGCCAAGAGCTGGAGTTACAGAGAACATTGTAGAAATCTGACATAAGAACCAAACCTGGAATTTGCTGCAGGGAGTAGCACAATTGGCTGCAAGCAAAAAGCTGTGTACCAACAGCAATAAATAAAATCAAACTGTAGATCTGTGGGTGACACAGCTTAGAAACCTGCCCCAAGCAGAAGACTCTGCTAAATAGAAGTACAATGACCAAGAGCAAAAGAACATAGAAAGGCAAAACAAATATTACTGAAGACTGACCTGCAAAGGAGCAAAACCCTGTGCCAACCTCAGAGTTAACTGAGGAAGACATCATAAAAATGGGGGGCACAGAATTCAGAAAATTCATTATAAAGCTTCTGATCAACAATGAGAAGCACATACAAGAGTTCAAAGGATTTAAGGAATATGCCACACACAAAATAGCAGCAATAAAGCAAATCAAGGCTGGAATCTCAGAAATTAAGAACACAGTAGAACAAATTAACAGTACAGTGGAGAGTCTCCAAAATAAAATGAAACAAGCAGAAGAAAGAATCTCAGAATTGGAAGATATTTCCTGTCACCAGGGGGAAACAAACAAAAAGCTGGAAGCAGAGCTCGATCAGGTAAAAAAAAAAAGTATTCAAGATTTGAAAGACACTATTAACAGAACTAATCTAAGAGATATGGGAGTACCAGAAGTTGCAGAAAGAGAAACTGGTTTTATAAATACTTTTAATGAGATAATAAGGGAATTTTCCCTAATCTAGAGAAAGAATTGGGAAACAACATCCAGTAGGGGTATAGAACACCCAACAGGCTTGATCAAAAATGATCTTCACCGAGACACATGATCATCAAGTTCTCTTCAATTGAACATAAGGAAAAGATCCTTAAATGTGCATGTGAAAAAAATGAATTGAAATATAAAGGAATGTCAATTAAGCTCACAGGAGATCTCTCACAGGAAACTCTACAGGCAAGAAGAGAATGGAGTGACATATTCCAGATTCTAAAAGAAAAAAATTGTTGGCCTAGGATAACATATCCAGCAAAGCTTTCTTACGTCTTTGAAAATGAAATAAAATTCTTCCAGAGTAAAGAAAAGCTAAAAGAATTTGCCTCTTCCAAACCTGCCCTACAAATGATACTTCAAGATGGTCTCTTGACAGAGAAGAGGAATAACACCCAAAAAACCAAAGGCAAATGTGAAAAACATCCCAGTAAAATGACGACAGAAGAATAAATCAATGAACAACCCATTCCTAAAATGACAGGACCAAATTTCTACCCATACTTATGAACCCTGAATACAAATGGCTTAAGTTCAATCAAATGTCATACATTACTAGACTAGATTGAAACACAAAACCCATCTATTTGTTGTCTAGAAGACACATTTCACCAACAAAAACCAGCAGAAACTATATTTCATGGATTTTGATGTTTTTGTTTTTGTTACTTTCATCTCTTCAAAACACTTTCTTCTGATTAAAATCTTTAGTGACTCTGGGGCAGCGGGTGGGTCCTGGGACAGGGCGTCTCATGCCCGGATCCCATACGCCCGCCCTATGGGCACATGGTGAGCCGGGCTTGGGTCTGCTGTGGTTCCAGGACTGCTTCCTTCAGGGTGAGTACACCGACCGAGGGAGGAGGTCTCTGGAGCCAGCTAGGCAGGCCCGCCCGCCGCTCTCATTGGGCAGTGGACAGGATTGGGATGGAGCGCAACCTTGGCCCTGGGAGGTTACACTTCCCGTCGCCTCTCGGCAGCGGGTGGGTCCCGGGACAGGGCGTCTCATGCCCGGATCCCATACGCCCGCCATCATAGGCACATGGTGAGCCGGGCTTGGGCGGCCAGGGCGCCATTTGGTGCCAGGCTTTGCTTGCTGGCCGCCCGGCAGGGCAGCTCTTGGATTTTGGTGGTTTGAATTGCTGCTTATGTGGCTCCACATTGAACCCGATGTGTTTCGGCGAGGTGAATACATCCTAAAGTTTCCCAATGACAGTTCCTCTTCCTTTAAAGAATGCGTTACCACTTAGCAATGCTGACCACCAAATACCAGTTCATGCTAAAGCTTTGGCACGGGTCTTGTCCAGTAGACACACTAACTGGATTAAGGCTACCACCAAGGAGCACGTGGGCTGGAATGGGGGCTGCGTTCTGATCATGTAACAGTGAAATCCCCCTTGGCACAAGTGTGGACAGGGACTGGATGCACCAGGCTGGACCCAACCCTAGCATTGTCTGGTGCTCCTGGAGGACCAGGATAGAAGTGGGACGGATTATGCTAGGTTGCAACCCCTACTGAACCATGTGTAAGCCGTATGTGGGAATGGGCTAGACGAGCCATGGCTGGGCTGAAATATCCAACAACAAGAACCAGCTTGGGTCGAAAGCTAGTCAGGAACTGGGCTAGTGCTGGCTCATGGACCCACTGGCATGCGCAAAATCCGGCACTGGGAGAGGTTCTGATGGAGGAGCCTGGGCAACTCCTCTGGCAGGACACAGACCCCACTGGTAAGCACAAGAAGCATGAATGGAAACAGCCCAGAGCAGGCCACAAGAAGTTTCCCACTGGCATACATTAGGCATGGATTGGGGGCAGACCAGGCTAATCAGTTATCATCTTCACTGGCAAATCCAAGCACCAGAACAGAGTAAGGGTCGAGCCAGGTTTGGTTGCGATAAAAACCAGTCCACACTACAGAATGCCAGGATGAGGTTGACTGTGCTGGATGTGACTGCAGTGCCCATCCAGCACACATGAGAAACAGGAAGGGAGGGGGCAGAGCCAGCGGGGGAATAAGGGGTGGTTCTCCTGCTGGACAGCTACTCCCACTGGAGAGCATGAACTGGGATGGAGGCAGACCAGACTAAGCAGGGCTACAACACCTGTGCGCCTCATGTGGACTAGACCAGGGAAAAGCCAGGATGGGTTGATTGTTCCTATGGGTGCAACCTACAATTAGAATGGGAGAGGGATGTTTGGGCATAGCCACAGCATCAGCTGGCAGAAACTGGCACTGGGGGCTAATCCTGTCAAGTTAAACTGCAGAACCACCTGGAAAGTGCACAATCCAGGAGTGAGAGACCTGGGAGGGAAATAGTGGGTTCCCCCCTCTTGGGTTACCACTCCTACGGGAGGGCACGAGAACTAGGACGGGGGTTGGGGTAGCTAGACAGAGAGGCACTCAACCACACCCGTGAAGGTTTGACTGTTGAGCTGGTTAGATGGATCCAAGCTTCAATGCCATTTGCCATGTACGAGAACCAGGGGGAGGTGGGTCAGATTGGACTGGTCTGCCACACATATTGGCAAACCAGGGTAGGGGGTTGGCCTGGTGGGGGTTATTGTGGGCCGCTCTCATCAGGATGCAGCTCCCACTGGTCTCGGTGAAGACCGAATATGTGCTGTGCAGAACCAGGCTGGACTGCAACACCCATTGGTTCCAGTAGAAGGCGGGGCTGAAAACAGAACCAGCCCAACAATTGCAACTACCAGCTGACCGGGTGATGGACTGTGCTGGGCCCTGTGCTTGCTGGTGCATACAAGTATCTGGCCTGGGAACACCTCAGACGAAGTTTCTTTGGTGATCTCCCCAATTGAAATGCCAGACTCAGAATCCTAACCATAAAGGGACAGAACATGGAACAAATTAATCAACCACCTCAGCTATAGGTTGGCAACAAAATATCGGGCAAATAGAGACGCTATGATGGACAATGTCAATTAATGGATTTTTCAACAACCTCATCGTCTTTGGAGAGGCAAGATTGGCAGCAATTTCAAAACTGGTGACCTATTGAAACCACTTCAATGAGTATCTCGGAGTATGCCCCACATGCGGGACTTGGGGTGGGTGGGAAACCAGGTGGGGCTTCTCCCTCAATATCCCCCCTACCTCAGATATATGAAGGAAACAATTTGGAAATAATAGTCTTACCCACTTTCCTGTAGCCCTTGACCCTTTGCCCAAATTAACCATGTAACGATTGTTAAAATAAAATAAAAAAATAAAATAAAAATCTTTAGTGACTCATAGATAATGCAGTAGCATCATCTTCAAGAAGATTCTTGATTTTCTTTCTCATTTCTTCAGCGACACATTCGTCATTCAGTAGCATGTTAGTTAACTTCATGGTGTTGTTAATTTCTTCTTTCTTCCTGCTGTTGATTTTGTTTTGTGGCTTTTCAATTAAGCGGATGTACAGTAACTGTGAAATGGAAACTATCATATCCAGATGTGAGGACACAAGGCATTATGCATCTCTACTTCCAAAGATGGACTTACAATGGAAACTGTTTACTATGTCTTCACAATAGGATGCTGGACTCTCTGCCATTGTCCATGCCCACAATGATGGACATATGACTGTGTATGAAGAACTATGCTTTAGTAATGATATAGAGGAGCTAGGTGGGGGAGGAGGAATAAGAGAAATCCCAGGAGCTTCTGGAACTGTATCAAAAATGATATAAATAAATAAATAAAATGTTGGAATTCTTCACCAGTCTACTAATCTACGACATTTGATTAATGAGTTTAAGCCTTATACATTCAAGGTTAGTGAGAATAGGTAGTAATTTGGTCCTGTCATTTAGCAATAACTTATTCATTGATTTAGTTTTCTGTTGTTATTTACTGGGATGTTCTTCACATTTGCCTTTGGTTTTGTTGGGTGCTATTCCTCTTCTTTTTCTAAAGAACATCATAGAGTATCATTTGTAGGGCAGGTTTGAAAGAGGCATATTCTTTTAACTTTTCTTTACTGTGAAAGAATTTTATTTCATTTTCAAAGACAAAGGTTAGTTTTCATGCAGACCTTACCCTCGGAAGACATGAAAGAATGACTGCATCCAAGAATGACTTTCAACAGATAGAGGCTCAAGGTCAGAAAGCCGGGCAACCCGATCTCACACTTCTGCTTTCATGGGTGGTTTTTGTTCAGGCTTGTATCACTGTGTAATATCAGGATAATCATAACCAGCAAAACAGTAGTAGATTCCAGCATCCTCAGCCTTCACAGGGTTGATGGTGAGAGTGTATGATGTCCCAGATCCACTGCCCTTGAACCTCGGATCAACCCCATCGGCTAATTTGGATGCATAATAGATCAGGAGCTTTAGACGTTGCCCTGGTTTCTGCTGATACCAGGATAGAGCATTGTAAACACTCTGATCCGTCTTGCAATCGATGGTAACTGTGCCTCCCACCTTTGCAGACACCGTGGTTGGAGTCTGGGTCACATCCAAGGCATGTGTGGCACCTGAGAAGGGAAACACAAACACAAACATCCACTCTCATCATCATGTTCATACAGCAGAGACAGGAAGTTTCAGTCAGCACTGACCACACTGGCTGAATTCAGTTCCTGCTGTTGTCTTTCCTCACCTGGGAGGCAGAGCAGCAGGAGCCCTAGGAGCTGAGCTGGTGCCCTCATGTCCATGCTGTGTCCTGACTGGCACTGACTCCTGAACAGGCCATGAGCAGCCTGCTCATAAGTGTGCAGGTCAGTAGGCTGTTCCCTAGGGACATGCAAATCAGTAAGAGAAGTGATATTCTTGTGCAAAGCAGAAGAGCCCAGCTCATGACATAACTGAGCAGAGGGGAAGTGTCTCCAGGCACACAGGCCACCCCTTGGGCTGCACTAATTTACCTACAGAGAACATGAACCTCTGACACACATTATGTGACATAAACCATTTGAGAAGCACTCTAATGTACCCCCACAGACAGGTCAGTGTAATCTACTTGTATTTAATGTCAGTGTCTCAATTTACAGAACAAATTATTTTCAGAGATTGTGCAACACTTTCTGACAGGGTAAAATCTATCAATTCCTCAGCCTGCCCTCAAATTCTTCCCATGCTTTACTTATTATTTACAGATTTCTGACAGTCTAAACTTATCTCATTTACATTATTTAGAACAAAATGAACACTAGGGATTCATATATATTTAGGAGCCAGCTTACAACGGCACACATATATTTGTAGAATCTGAATAATGAGAAGCAATTTGCAGCCAATAGATGCACCATGATATATGAGGGAGCGTTCATATATCCAGGGACTAAATGTCCTATACCAATGTTGACATGAGAGCATCAGTAATTGAATATTGAGCCATTTGCTGCTATTTCCTGATCTTCACCAGCACAAAGCTCTGAGTTATGAAATTGGATGAATGCAACTACCATCAACACTTGCATTTATCGGTAGTATCTCAGTTAAGATACATAAGACACTTTAGAGGAGAACACACCCTAGTACCCTTCTCTGCAAATTCCAAAGAAACCCCAAGTACAGTCTCCTGGTTAGTTTCTGTGAGCTGCAGTAGCTACCACTCGGGGCTAGGGGAACTACATCTGCAGTTTAGGACTTAGAAGATAGGTGAGAAGTTAGCCCATTGAAAAAGTGCATTTATTACCCACCTGACTTAGAGGGTACCTGCTGCTTGGTCCAGAGTCAGGTCATGCACTGCACATTCCTCATTCCTCTGCTGATCTTTTAGGATCAAGCTGGGCATGCAAGCACTCCCCTGCTCTGTACACAGGAGTCTCCACTTTGTCAAACTAGTGCCAATTACATAGAGTATTATCTTGGATTACAATAGACTTGGAAATCAAGTCTATTTGCATCCCTATAATGCACATGCCGATATTTGCACCAGTCATCCAGTCTGTATCACTAGAATGGGATGACAAAATCACCATCTCAGAGCCAAGGAGCCTGAGAACTAGGGAGGAGGCAGACATTACTGAGGCACAAGCACAGGAGAGCAGAACCTGGGGGTTCAGCCACATCACAAACTCCTACATCCCACCTGGGGTCTGATTTAAAAGGGAACCTGCTGGTAAACAGTCTACCAAGATAGGAGAGAAGAAAACTGCCTTTCCAGATGGAATACACACTTCATTTGTCGTGGAGGATAGTAGGACCACCCCAACCTCCTCCTTCATTGTTCCTCTGCTGACTCCCTCCTCTCCTGCCTGAGCTGCAATGAGCTCTCTGAGCTGGGGAGGCAGCTCCACCTGCACACATGCAGACCACACCGCCTGGGATGAGCAGCCCTTAGGGAACCCCATGTGCATGACACCAGCAGGGAGTTCTGATGATCCCAGCTTCCTGACCTCTCAGATAACAGAATTCTCAGCTATGTCTTGTATTCCAAGTTGGTAAACATCTCCTAATCCTTAGCTACAACTTACTGACTTAGGAGCCTTTCCCATCTGTCTTCTCTTCTCTGTTTACTTCCCTCTTCACTGGTCCTCTACTCCAGTGTAAATATGCAGTTGATACCAGAGTCCTTGACACAGGGGGATAATTTCTAATTGGAACAGTGCATGTTTGGGTGAACAATTGCCAGTTCTACTTGCTATGGCATTGGAAGTTTAAGAAAACCAAGAACTTGAATTTCTTTTACCCATCTGTTAGTGTGCTAAAACAGGAATCCCATCATTATCACAAAGCCATCTTCATCACAACTCCAAAGTGGTTCTAGCCTGATAGTGGAGACAGATGACTTCATTAGAGGCACCAAATACAACTCCCCCAGCTTCAGCCTCAGAGTCGGAGACTGGATCTGAAATGTCCTGCAGCTCTGTGCTTCAGCGATCTTCCCTGTGGTTTTGAATTCTGATGTAGAAAAGGGCAGTAGTAGAGAACACAGTGTTATAAAGGTGTGGGTGAAATACCACTCCAAACCAGCATATAACCAAGCACTAAATTCTGGATCATCAGAATTCCACACTAAATGTCAGAAAGTAAATGCCAGATTGATTAGCTACCAATGTTCTATTTCTCCAGAGAGAGGGAGGAAGCCAAGCGTGGAGACCAGCTGTGACAGAGGAAAAGGTAGTTAAGAGTGAGGGGAGGGAGGTCCACAGAGCAGGACACATGGGGCATCCTGAAGCTGCAAGAACAGAGACTTGGATCCTCCCCTTTAGAGCTGCCAGAAGGAGCACAGCCCTGCTGCCTCCTCGGTTTTATCCCAGCTAGACCTGACCTCCTGAACTGGGATGATAGCATATTTGTGTGAGCTGAGGCCTGAACAATATGATAAGGTGCTGGAACAATTTCTCACTGCCTGATGCTGTGTCTGCAATCACTGGAAGCCTATTAGAGTGGCTGGTGCTGGGGTCCCTGCAGTAGGTGTGGATGGCAAGAAGGTGTGAAGAGAACAGCTCCCCTGCTTACCAGGGCTCCAGGGGAACTTCCAGCTGTTTGGCAGGGCCCAGCAAATTTCTCTCTGACCACCTTGACACAGTTTCACCGCCTCTTTGCATGGACACCCAAGCACCCCACTAAGAATTCTGCAATCTATTGAGGGATGGTTTGCCCCTATGGGATGGCTTTTATCACCAACATGAGCTTGAGAGTTATTATTATTGATAATATCTTGGTGAGTGGGCCTTTAACTGTGCACAGGACTACAATTAAACCCATGCCTTTTCTGGACACCTTATTGTGTACCTACCCATTGCCCTGAAATCGGGCCCAGGCATATACCATGCCTTCTGGGAAATGGCTTAATAAGAATTTTACAAAGTAATGGAAGTGATGGGAGTGAAAGCTGAAACTGCTATGACAATAAATATAGCTATTGTTATCTCAAAGGCTAGCTTGTCTTTGCAATTTTTAGGAGTGTAGGAAATGTAATTGTTTTAGCTGCTTTTATAATTTTTAGCTAGAGGAATTAAGGATGCTTTTAAAAAAGAAAAATGCTTTTGATTATTGTCTTATTGTTTATGGGGTTGTAGGAATTTATAGTTGTAGGGAGCTTTAACATTTGAAGTTTCTGTTTTAGATTTTAGGTTTTTTCCCTTGTAACCTATTTTCCCATTAAATGATGGGTAAATTGTAGAAGTAAAAATGTGGTGGGAAAGTACTACTGATTAGCAGATAATCGCATGTGCCTTGGCCTTGGAGTCCTGGTTGTTGCTCCATGGCTACTGTTGAAGAATAAATAATGGCTTGCTTTGAAGAATATGAATACAGTATTTTGCAGAATTATCTTTAGGGTCACCTGCTTAGCCTTGAAGTGCAGACAGAGTGACCAAATATCTGTACATGCCCCCTTAATTTTGAAAATGAAAAAATAGAATAGCTACTTGTGCAGAAGCTTGAGAAGGGTTTTGAGTAAATAAAAAGGACAGCTTTTTCCTGAGCTGGTGTGAGAAAGCACCAAGGGTCTGTGTCTGTGTCTTTCTTATCGCCGACTCCACGCACACTTCCCGAGCTCTGAACTCAGCTGGAGCTGGACTCCGGCAACTCCATTTCTATTCCACCTCCCTAGGTATGGACGGGAAAAGCAGTAGAGAATGGCAAAAATCCTCAGTACAAAGCAACCACATGCAAGATCCAGAAGGAGCTCCAGACCCCTGGCATCTCATTGCCTAGCCTTCAGGTGTTGTTGAAGCCACTTGGAAAGTGAACCAGCACATGAAGAACTTTATCTGTCAGTCTCTCATTCTCTTTGTATATCTGCTTTTGCAATGAAATTAAATATTTCTAAAATCAACCTAATAGCCCATTTATAAGGTCATTATTAAGTTAATAGATGTGAAGTTACTGTCACATCTCTGATTCATTCACTGTCCTCTGAGATCTTCACACTGTCACTGTGTTCTCATTTAGTGTCAGTTTTAACAGGAGACAGACAACATTTGATTGCAGTGTGAGAGCACAAATCCCGCTTAGATGGAGAGTCTCATGGTTGATATATCTTAGTGAGCTCTTGTCAATCAAGGGATGATATAGCCTGATGCTTTTTGCTTCTATGGGCCTGGCAGTGTGGCCTAGCGGCTAAAGTCTTCGCCTTGAATGTGCCCCAGGATCCCATACTAATGCTGGTTCTAATCCCAGCAGCTCCGCTTCCCATCCAGCTCCCTGCTTGTAGCCTGGGGAAGCAGTCAAGAACCACCTAAAGCTTTGGGACCCACCACCTGTGTCAGATACCCAGAAGAAGTTCCTGGATCCTAGCTTCGGATCGGCATGGCATCAGCCACTGTGGTCACTTGGGGAGTGAATCATCGGACGGAAGGTCTTCCTCTCTGTCTCTCCTCCTCTCTGTATATCTGACTTTCCATTAAATAAATAAATCTTGTAAAAAAAATTTTGTTTGCTTATCTGCTTCCATATTAGGAGGAAAAAATAGATTGATGAGAATGTGAGAGTACAAGCTGAAACCAAGAGATGAAAAGGGACAGAGAAAATAATGAAAGGATCAAGAATGTGAGATGTGCCACCTGCCTGCTAATCTGAAATTCCTGAATGTGCCAGGAAAATTTGCAGTCAGAGAGATCTAAATTAAAGAACTAGATCGAGGTCAACACAGAGTGAAACAGGAGCAGCAACAACCCCGGGTTTCTCATCACCCAGGTTTTGCCTGCTGTCTTTCCTGTAGACTACAGCCTGAATATGGAATGAGCATGGGTATGTGGATGGAAGATCCTTAAGGATATACAGGCCTGTTTTCAAACCCCAATCACAATTGCTCACCATGAGTCTGGCTAACAATCGATATGCACAGAGATGTGAACATCAGGAGAAACTCATACCATCCATCAGCACCTGCAGGCAGATCCAGGGAGGAGGATGAGGCCTGGAGAAGCACCTGTTAGTGCCGCGGGCAACTGATGACATCAGCTTCAGCGTGAGGAACACAGGACTCAGCAAACAGTTCCTTCAGTAGGGAAGGGACATTGCCTTGTTGAAGAGCAAGGGGTCCCAAATTTCTACAATCACCATTTCCAGCCCCTAACTGTCTTGCATATTAAAGGCTTTAGTCTGGTTCTAATAAACTGTATGAAACTCTGTTTCAGCTTGGAAAATATGCCAATGTTTATACTTTTTCCTCGTTGAATGCAAACATGTTACTTTCACCCAGTGTGGCAGGTGCTAAGAAGAAAACACGAGAAGCTTCACTGGAGCTGTCGCTGCTCATCCTCCAGACTTTTCAGGAGCTTCACAACTTAACTGCAACTAACAATCTCTCTCAGCTGATGGAGGACCCAGGAGACCCAGCTGGGGACTTCTGCTTTCCTGGGGGGGTTGATGTTAAGACTTGTATCAAAGTCTAAAGGGCACTTTAGTCTTAAGTCTAAAGGGCACTTTAGTCCTGAAGGCAGTAGTAGGCTGCAGCATATATAGTCACCACACCACATGCACAGATGTTTGATTGTTCTATTTGTTACTTCATGGTTAAGCAGGTGCTCTTAAAGATAATTCTGTAAGATACTATAACCATTATTCCATACTTCTGTAGTAGGCATTTGGCAATAGTCAGGACTCCAACGCCAAGGCACATGCAGTTACCTAATAATACGTAACACATTCCTATTGCATTTCTATTTTTACAGCTTATCTATCGCTTAACAAAAGAAATATATCCTAATGGAAAAACATAACCATCCAAAGCAGAAGTTTTAAACATTAATTCCCTCTACAAATACAGGCTTTATAATTCCATAAACAATCAAATGATAAGGAAAGGCAAATTTCTGCAATATTTATAAAAGCATCATTAATTCTTCTAGCTAAAAAGTTATAAAAGCAAAAATGAAAATATTTTATATACTTCAAAGAAATTGCCAATACAGGTTAGTCCTTAAGATTACAACAACCTGGGGCCCAGCACGGTGGCGCAAGTGGTTAAGTCCTTGCCTTGCATGCCCGGGATCCCATATGGGCGCCGGTTCTAATCCCGGCAGCCCCGCTTCCCTTCCAGCTCCCTGCCTGTGGCCTGGGAAAGCAGCTGAGGACGGCCCAAAGCTTTGGGACCCTGCACCCACGTGGGATACCCGGAAGAATCTCCTGGCTTCGGATCAGCATAGCATCGGCCTGTTGCGCTCACTTGGGGAGTGAATCATCAGATGGAAGATCTTCCTCTCTGTCTCTTCTCTCTGTATATCTGCCTTTCCAATAAAAAAATAATAATAATAAATCTTTAAAAACAAAAAAAATGAAAACCTGCTCTACCAGACTGAAAGGTGACAGGATTTCCCCTTTGACCCGCAGGGGAGCCATTTCACCTCAGTTCTGATGGTGACAGCCGAATTTGGGAGGACTTGAGTTCAACTGCCCTGATCTGCTCTCCTGAGGGACAGTGGTTTTTCTACTTTCTACTTGGGGAAGTTTTTATTCAGAGGAGGGATATACTTGCGAATATAAAATAAATTCAGACAAGATAGGACACGATCAGGGTGATATGGCTGTAGGCTGAATATAAAATAAATTTAAAACATGTCATTAAAAACATTAAAAGGAAAATAACAAACAAATGATGGGAGGGTAGAGTTGAAAGGATCATTATACTCTTAAAACTGTCTAGAAGAAATATGTGAAATGAGCACCTTTTGTATTTTGAAATAAAAATTTTTTAACTTTTTTTTAAGAAGTTCAGGAGTCTTTATTCACTGGCCAATACTCTGTCCCTTTCTGAGACATGTCAAAGAGGGGAGCAGTCATAAACATATTTTTAAATATTTGAATATTGTAATTGAGTGTCAGAATTACGAAGAGAGAGGGAGAGACAGAGCTAACTTCTGAACATTGTGAGACAGCTGTGTGTGGCAGGAGTAATTGCAGAGCTGGCTGGATTAAAGACCTGAAACAACACAGAATCACACAGGTCAGCATGCAGCATGGATTTCACATCACCCTGGTTTTCTTGTGCCCTTTCACTGTTTATAACCTCAAAGATGGAGTGAACAAGGCCATATGCAAGAAAATATTTAAACATATATTAGCCTTGGTTAAATTTCCAGATCTCCGTAAGAATATATTGTGTGTCTTTGGGGAAACAACCCATGTGCCATGAAATTTGAATGTCAGAAGACAAATTCTGTACGATCCATCTGCATGCAACTGCAGGATATCCCAGGGACGGCACTGAGGACAGGGTGAAGCACCTGTGAGGCTGTGGGCAGCTAAGAGCATCAGCTCCAGGGCTGAGGACCACAGTCAGCAGCCTGTTCCTTCTGTAGCAGAGAAACATTGGGTTCTGAGAAAGCAGAGTCCCATGTTTCTACAATCACATCACCCTCTCTGATCCTTGCATTTATAAAACATTAAAATATAACTGAGACACTAATAAACTGTTCAATGTTTACGCTTGAAATATCCACAAGCTTCCCTTTTTACTGTATGTATCCAAACGAATGTTGTACCATTAAGAGCTCAGGCATAATCACTTATTTCCTTTAAATCAATGGAAATATGTGTTGGGGCTCAAGGAAATTAAAAACAAGATTCCAAGACGAGTGATATGTCTTCATTCTTCAGCCCTGTGGTCACTCTGCTTCATGAACAATGAAGCTCCCAAAATGAGTGAGGGGTTTTATTGTAACTACGTTGCAGTATCTACATTGGCACAAAGCAGAAAGCAGGCAGTGAAGATTAGCAATGTATAACCACAGGTTTAAGCCTTACCACTTCAGTGCGAACAATAGTGAACAGAATGCTTCAAAGGCAATTGTCCCGTATATCTAACATTCCCAAGAACTGCCTATATTCCATTTGCTTCATGGCGTTTCAGGAAGCAGAGTGTTCTAACGGAATACAGGCAAGTCTTAAGAGGGGCCAGATTATCAGGCATAGTCACTTTTACAATGAACCTTTTCAAACATGAACATATCAGTGCTTCAGGTGCCAAGTAGGAAAAAATGAGGGAGGCTGCAAAAGAGTCTCACCAATCTCTTATTACATCTCAGGGACCATCAAGACTGACTACATCTGACAATGACTCTTAGCAGATAGAGAATCCAGAATGGGGAACTGGACAGTGCAGACTCACACTTCTGCTTTCCTGGGTGGTTTTTGTTCAGACTTACATCACCGCAGTAGTACTACTAGCACTATAATCACCAAAACAGTAGTAGATTCCGGCATCCGCAGCCTGCACAGGGCTGATGGTGAGAGTGAATGATGTCCCAGATCCACTGCCCTTGAACCTCGAATCGACCCCAGGGGCTAAATTGGATGCAAGGTAGATCAGGAGCTTTGGATGTTGCCCTGGTTTCTGCTGATACCAGGATAGATAATTGCTGCTAACACTCTGACTTGTCGTGCAATCGATGGTGACTGTGCCTCCCACCTTTGCAGACACCGTGGTTGGAGTCTGGGTCACATCCAAGGCACATCTGGCACCTGAGAAGGGAAACACAAACACAAACATCCACTCTCATCATCATGTTCATACAGCAGAGACAGGAAGTTTCAGTCAGCACTGACCACACTGGCTGAATTCAGTTCCTGGTGTTGTCTTTCCTCACCTGGGAGCCAGGGCAGCAGGAGCCCCAGGAGCTGAGTAGGGGCCCTCATGTCCATGCTGTGACCTGACTGGCACTGACCCTTGCACAGGGCATGAGCAGCCTGCTCTTAAGTGTGCAGGTCAGTGGGCTGTGTCCTGGGCACTTGTAAAATAGCAGAGGAAGTGGCATTGCTGTTCCAAGCAGAAGAGCCCAGCTCATCTCATAACTGAGCACAGGGAATGTGTCGCAAGCACCCAGGTCATCCCCCCTGCTGCACTCATTTACCTGTAGATAACACGATCCTCTCTGGACACATTATGTGACATAAGGCATTTGAGGGGCTCTTGACAGTCTCTAAATGAACCGATGGACAAGTACCATCTACTTGTATTTCATGGCTTTGTTTCATTGTATAAGAGAACAAGTTATTTTTAGAGAATGTGCAGTACTATGTTATTGTATAATTCTATACATTCCTCTATACATTCCTGCCCTCAAATTCTTCCCATACTTCACTTATTACGTACATATTTCTGAAGAGTGAAATCATTTCATTTAGTCTATTTAGAAAGAGAAGAAAGATTTACATATACTCAAGGGCCAATGTTTAATGACACTCAGACACCATTAGAATAATGAGAAGCAATGTACTGCACATAGATGCACCATAATATTGGAGAGAACCCCTATGACCAGAGGTTAAATGGGGCACCCCTTTCTTGACATAAGGGTCTTTGCAATACAATTTTCTGCCATTTGCTGTCTTTCCCTGAACTTTAGCAGGATGAAGCTCTGATTCCTGATGTGAAATGTCATGAATGAACTATCATCAGTGTTTACAGTCATCTGTAGGAACCTGGATTAGAATCCACAAAACCCAGGATATGAGTTCACACCCAGTATAATTCTATTGAAAATAAACCTTTTGTAGATTCTTCTGGTTTCTCTGAGTTGCAGTATCTAACACTGGGGCTCATGTGGACCATGTCTGGAAACTGATTGGTACAGAACAGGTGAGGTAGCCCAAGGGAAAGATCAATTATTAACCCGCCTAACTTAGATGAGGGAAGCTGATGCTTGGTGCAGGACCAGGTCATGCACTGAAAGTGCCTCATTTCTCTGTTACTCTTTGCTAGGGTCAGAGGAGGATGGAAGCACTTGCCTTCTCCCTGCCCAGGAGTCTGTCAATCTAGTACCAATAACAGAGCTGTCAACGGATTCTAGTAGATTTAGACTTAGATTTGCACCCCTGTATCTCACATCTTGTTTTGTACCATTCACCCAGTCCACACCACTAGAATATATTAAGGAAGTCACACCTCAGTGGCATGGAGCCTGGGAACCAGAGAAGTGGTGAGTATTACTGAGGCATTAACACAGGTGACCAGAACATGGTGATACAGCCTCATATTTTTAAAGATTTTTTTTTATTGTTGCTTACATTGTATTATGTAGTACAGTTTTATAGGCGCTGGGGATTCCCCCCACCCCTCCCATACCCCTCCCCCCATGGTGGATTCCTCCACCTTGTTGCATAACCATAGTTCAAGTTCAGTTGAGATTCATTGCTTGCAAACACATGCCTAGCATAAAGTTCAGCGTCTTATTGTCCAGATAAGTTCAGTGGCCTCTTGGGGAGACCTTCTCTGGTCTGAAGATAGGTCTAACAGAGTAAAGATCCGGTCAGTTAAAAGCCCCAACAAGGCCTCAGTATCAATATACAACATTATGGAATTAATTGACATAGTATTGGGTAAACAATATGTTAAAAATAATGCAAGTTCCCTTCTTCGAAACATCTGGGTTGAGACAGTATCAATGACAGGTTCAAAAAATAACAAACAACCAAACAAAAAATTACAGGTTAAATCAAGGCAAACATGTGGTATCTAATCTTTTGGGATTCGCTCATTTCCCTTAGCATTATAGTTTCCAGTTGTGCCCATTTAGCCACAAAGAACTGCATTTTGTTTTTTTTAATAGCTGAGTAGTATTCCATGGAGTAGATGAACCAAAGCTTTCTTATCCAATCTTCTGCTGATGGGCATTTCGGTTGCTTCCATGTTTTTGCAATTACTGATTGTGCTGCAATGAGATTTATTTTTTTTATTTATTGGAAAGGCAGATTATACAGAGAGAAGAGACAGAGAGGAAGATCTTCCGTCTGATGATTCACTCCCCAAGTGAGCGCAACGGCCCATGCTATGCCAATCCGAAGCCAGGAGCCTCTTCCGGGTTTCCCACATGGGTGCAAGGTCCCAAAGCTTTGGGCCTTCCTCGACTGCCTTCCCGAGCCACAGGCAGGGAGCTGAATGGGAAGCGGGGCTGCCGGGATAGAACCGGCGCCCATATGGGATCCCAAGCGTGCAAGGCGAGGACCTTAACCACTTGTGCCACCGCACCAGGCCCAAACAGCATCATTTTTTTAAAAAAAATCTAACGCCCACCAAAGCTGTGATTTCCAAGGAAATCTGCTATCAAATTGCTTATGCAAATCAAAAAGAAGCAAACTTCCTTAAAGATGGAATACACATATCTTTGGAGAAAGAGGCATCAGCACCACCCCATCCTTCACCTTCCCTGTCCCTCTGCTGGCTCCCTCCATTCCTGCCTGGGCTACACTGAGGTCTCTGAGCTGTGAAGACAGCTCAGCCTGCATACATGCAGACCACAGGACACAGGATGCATCCTGAAGCCACGAGGACAAGGAGTTGGATCCTCCTCTCTGGAGCTGCCTGAAGGAGCACAGCCCTGTTGTCTCCTTGGTTTCAACCCAGCCAAACCAAGGGTAAGCAAAACAGGGGTGAGCAAAAATGATAAAATCGTATCATAACTGTTATTTTTAAGACATTTTTTATTTGACAGAAAAAGAACAGAGGAAAATAGAGAGATCTTCTGTCAGCTGGTTCAATCCCCACTCCTCCAGTCAATGCCTATTCTGGCAACTATGTTACTGACACTAGAATATTAGGGTCTAGAACTCTAGACTACAGGCACACAATATCCTGAAACTTCCAGAGAGTGTCTGAGCTTAACACATGTCAGTTTTCCTTCCAAGGTGTAGGAACACTAAGAAGATCCAGAGATTTCTTTTGTCAGTTTGATAGGTGTGTTGGAGCAGCAATTCCATTTCTGGGTCACAAAACCTAAATGGTCACAAGCAAAGAGCTAAGGACAAGAAGTTTCCATTAGAAGCAATAAATTCAGCTCCACCAATCATCCATCTCAAATGTACTCCAATTCTGTGCTCCCAAGATGTGCTTTGTGGCTTTTAATTCTAAATTAGAAGAAGGCAAAGATGGCAAGAGAGAGTGAGGACCAGTTTAAACAGAATCATTAGTTAGGGTGAAGCACAGGAAATAGGAGAGGACAGGCCAATGATAGAGAGGCACCTAGAAACCTGTGGACATAGGGAAGCAGCAGAGAACGCAGAACAAGACCAACACTGCTGACAATCCAGTGATTAGGACAACTGACGCTTTCAAAATCCCCAGCATTGCTCAAGCAAGGAACGGGAGAAAGGCTATGCAGGCAACAGTGCTGCCACAGCACAGGCTCACAAGGGGTAGAATGGTGAGCCAGGAGCTGGGCTGTAGATATCCTGGTGGAAGCCTTGCTCAAGAACCTGGAGCTGAAACTCACTGGAGGGAGTGGCACAAGTGACTGCAAATGAAGTCCATATGCTGAACATCACCAGTAAAATAGAACTGTAGACCTATAGGCAGCACACCTTAGAAACAGGCATTAAGGAGAAGAATCTGCTAACCAGAATTCCAAATGATCAAGAGAAAAAGAAGAGACAGAGGCACAATGAATATTACTAATGCCTCCCCGACAAAGGAATAAAAGCTTTGTCAACCTCAGAGTAAACTGAGGAAGACACCCAGAAAATAGGGGACAACTAATTTTTAGTGTCAAATAGGCATGAACGTGGAAATGTGAAAAAATATCAAACATACATTGGATGGGTTAAAATTCCAGATCTCCCCAAGAGCTCCATGTGCCTTAGGGCAAACAAACCCCTGTGCCATGAGATTTGTTGTCAGAAGACAAATCCTGGACCATCCACCTACACCTGCAGAAAGACCAAAGGATGAAGGATTGGGGAACCATATGTGAGGCTGCAGGCAGCTGAGAGCATCAGCTCCAGGGCTGAGAACCACAGGCTCAACAGCCTGCTCCTTCTGTGGCAGAGGGCAGTGGATTCTGGGAGAACACAGAGTCCCATGTTTCTAAGGTCACCATCTTCGATCACCACATTCCTAGAACACTAGAGTATAACTTGGATTCTAAGAAATACTGTTTAATGATTCTGCTTGAAGCAGCCATTATATTTACCTTTTTAATGTACGTGTCCAAAAGAATGTTGTAACATTGAGAAATCAAGCATAAACATTTATTTCCTTTAATTCAATAAAAACATGGTCATACAGTGCTCCAGGTGCCAAATAGGAGAAAAGAAAAAGAGGCTATAAAGGATCCACAGGAGCCTTTCTAACTAGCTTACAGGGACCATGGAAGACTGACTGCACCTGAGAATATCTCTTAATATATGAGGTCAGAAAATAGCTGGTGTGATAGCACAGACTCACTTCTCCTTTCTAGCGTGGTTTTGGTTCAGGCTTTTATTACTGTGTTCACACTCCTACCACTATAACGCCCAAAACAGTAATAGGTTCCGATATTGTCAAGCTATACACCGTTGATGGTGAGGGTGAATGATGTCCCAGATCCACTGCCCTTGAACCTGTCAGGGACCCCAGAGGCTAAAGTGGATGCCCAGTAGATCAGGAGCTTTGGAGGTTGTTCTGGTTTCTGCTGATACCAGGATAACCTACTGCTAAAGCTCTGAATTTTCTGGCAATTGATGGTGACTGTGCCTCCCTCATTTGCAGACACCATGTTTGGAGTCTGGATCACCTGCATTGTACATCTGGCACCTGACAAGGGAAACACAAACACAAATATCCACTCTCATCAACATGTTATATTGAGAGAAAAATTCAGCCAACACTGACCACACTGGCTGAATTCAGTTCCTGGTGTTGTCCTTCCTCACCTGGGAGGCAGAGCAGCAGGAGCCCAGGAGCTGAGCAGGGACTCTCATGTCAATGCTGTATTCTCATTGGTACTGACTCTTGCACAGGATTTGTGTAAACTAATTGTAAGCCTGCAGGGCAGTGGACTATGATCAGGGACCATGCAAATTAGTAGGAGATGGGGCAGCACAGTGCAAAGATGATAATCCCAGTCCATCTCCTAGCTCAGTACAAGGCGGTGCCCTGGCATCCCAGACCAAATCAGAGCAATACTCTTTCATTTTAAGAGAACATGATTTTTCCAGAATACTTATAATCACAAAAGGGATTTAAGAGATACTTGCCTTAATTTAAATGAACCATAAGACAACATGTTAAAATCTACTTTTATTTCCAAGCTATGGGTGATTAATTAGAAAACAACTTTGTTAGGTGAAATTTGCAGAGACATCTTAGAGACTACAGCTATCAAATCCTCATACTGCATTGTTATACTGGTCTACTTAGCACATGTGTATTTCTTAGAGAGTGAAATTATTTCATTTATTCAACTAAAAAAGAGCACATAGAGGACCTCAAATATTCTCAGAAGCCTGATTGAAATGGCACTAAGACTAATAAAATTTGAATTATGTAAAGGAATTTATTGCAGAGAGATGCACCATAATCCTAATTTGAGGACATTTGTTCTCAGAAGCTAAAATGTTGCCCCTTAATGTTGACATGCAGTCGTCTGCAATATTGCTTTCTGCCAGATGGAGTCCTTGCTACACAGAGTGCTCCTTTTACCCCCTGAATCCACTATGTTTTCTAACATGCCTATTATGCTATCACCAAATCTCTTTCAGTTTGTCTACTGTCAGTGTCTGGTTTTAGGACACAGAGGGCCAAATGAAGATAAGGACAGAATCTGGCAGGAATGTGAGAATGCAAGCCTTCCCTGCAGTGGGCAAGCTATGCTGGGGTAAAGCAGTTGTCCTCGTATGAGAATTCTAAGGCTGTTGGTTCACTGGATGGAAGAGTTGTGGCAGACACAGCCTTACTCCAGGTGGAAGCTGACATCATCTGAAGGGGCAGATTAATATCATGCCCCCCCCCCAACAACAACAACAACATGGTACAGGTAGAACAGAGCACTGTTTCTGGATATAGCTGCAGGTATGGGCTGAATTGTGGCCATTTGATTGTTGAAGATATTCCACATCTAAAAGAGACTGTGATACTGCTCATTGTTTGCAACCAATAACACTGTTATTGCAATTCTATGAGAATGTTCTTATGGATTTTTACCTGCTCTACCAGATTGAAAGTTGACATGACTGCCCCCTGTGGCCTCCAGGTGGACGGACTCATTAGCCCTTAGATTTGGTAGTGAATGGGCGATTAGTTAGATCTTGAGGCTCAACAGCCCTGGTCTACCCTCCTGAGGAACAGTGGATTTTCTACTTTCTACCTGTTGAAAACTTTTTTTTAGGAAATACAAAATAAATTGAAAGTATAAACATTACAAGAAAATCAGCAAAAGAAGGAGAGATGGTGGGAGGGAGGATTGAGTGGAAATGATAACTATACTTTTCAAATCTCTACATGAAATGAATTCCCTTTGTATAGCTGAATTTTATCTTACTTTATTTTATTTTATTTTATTATTTATTCATTTTTATTACAAAGTCAGATATACAGAGAAGAGGAGAGATAGAAAGGAAGATCTTCCGTCTGATGATTCACTCCCCAGGTGAGTGCAAAGGCCAGTGCTGTGCCAATCCGAAGCCAGGAGCCAGGAACTCCTCCAGGTCTCCCATACGGGTGCAAGGTCCCAAGGCTTTGGGCCGTCCTCGACTGCTTTCCCAGGCCACAGGCAGGGAGCTGGATGGGAAGTGGAGCTGCGAGGACTAGAACCGGAGCTCATACGGGACCCCGGCGCATTCAAGGCAAGGACTTTAGCCGCTAGGCCATGCCGCCGGGCCCTGTATAGGTGAATTTTAAGTAAAAAATATTTTAAATATTTATTTATTGTACTTCAGAGTCAGAGTTACAGAAACAGAGCCAAAGAGATCTTTCTTCTACTGAATCACTAATCAACCAATCACAATGGAAGAGATGGGCTAATTTGAAGTTGAGGGCAAGGCACTTCTTCTGGGTCTCTCATATGGGAGCAAAGTCCAGTGTCGTGTCAGTTTTTCACTGCATTCCCAGGTCATAAGCAGGGAGCTGCATCAGAAGTGGAAACAGCTGGGATTCAAGCCCAGTGAGGAGGACTGGCCCGCTATGTCAGCACAATGGTCCCAAAAAATATTTTTAAAAACAAATGAAGTGATTGGCTAAAGGAATGGTGATCAGAGTGATTCACAAGTATGCAGTGACATATTTGTTTAAATGGGGTTTCGGCTGATGAAAATAACAAGAGTCTGGTGTGGATTTACTGAAATGACTCCACTGATCCACGAGCAAATTCAAATATACACAGTGTATCAAAAGACTCTGAGAGATATTAACAAGCAGACACTGTCTTTGCTAACCAGTAATATTCACACACTCCATGTACTGATACCATATTAATATGTAATTCAAAAAATTACTAGATAATCCACATTATAAAGAGTTAAGCATTTTTTCCAGCTTCTTTTTGCAGCAAACAACACTATCTACCAAATCTATTTACCATGAACTTTCTGAAAAACTTCAGTATATAGAAAGTGTTTAAATTACATGCTCATGATGCATTTTATGACAAGTTATTAAGGCTTATAAATTGATTTGAAATTTTGTAGCTGATAAAGAATTTGTATCAGGAGACCTTGCTGGATTTCACTATAAATTACATCTTTGGATTGGCCCTGGTCCTTTAGAAGGCATAATAATCCTGGAATGATGACATCTCTGTCTCCTCCTTCCATTGTTGGGCTCTGTGAGTCCCCACAGGTGTACCGTGGCTTTTATTCTCCTGGTGCTTTCCAGAGTCTCCACAGGCCGAAGGCTGTCTGTTCAGAGCTCTAGGAATGGGCTTTTCCAGGGGCTGGGCCTGAGTGCATCCCACAGGAGATTCAGCAGAGGATGGGGCCACAGCCCAACTCCTCATCCCCCTAGGCCTTTGGGTCTCAGGTGAGAGGATTCAAGGAGCAAACAGCATTCTACCTATGTAACTGTACCATTAAACCTTCAATAATTCACAGGAACAGTCTGAAATATTCTAAAGAATAAGAAAATTTACATTTCCCAGCAGTTGCCTCTCCCCTGTGCCTGATGACACTGTAACGTCCCATTTCCTTCCTTGGCCGACTCACCTGCTTCTATCTATCTATCTATCTATCTATCTATCTATCTATCTATCTATCTATCTCTATCTCTATCTCTCCCTGTGGGTGCATTACCAGAGTTAATCCTCAGCATTGTGTTTTCAAGCACTTCTCTTACTCCTTTGCCCTCCAACCAGCCTCTTCTTCTACCTGTCTCCTAACATTCCATTTTTCATCTGATGCTCTTTGTTTCAAAACTGGAAACACAGATCTGTATCCTGGGAATGTTACTTTAAATGTGAGAGGGATTTATACAGATTATCTAATGTCTGTGCTCTGGAGATTATCATGAATTATTTCACTGACAGAAATACACTATACTATTAATATAACCCTTATAATAGAAACATGGGTCTAGGTCAGAGAGGAAGTGTGACAGTGTAGAAGGTTGCTGGAGTGAGACGAGGAAGGGGCCACAGTGCAAGACACGTGGGACATTCTCTGAGATTCTCAAATGTCATTTTATTCTCATCTGGTGTCAATTTTGCAGAATTAGACAATAGTTGATTGTAAGGTGGGAGCACAAATTCCAAGTAGAGGGAAATTTACTTCAGTGAATTATCTTTCTTACCTCTTATGAATCAAGGGGTGTGAAAGCCTAGGGCTCAGTTATCAAAGAGTTTGAGTGGAGGAAGAGGTTCTGATTTGTTTGTTTGCCTCTCTGCTTTCTTATTAATAGAAGAAAATAGGATTACAGAGATGAGAAGGGACAAAGCAGATGAGTCAAGGATGCAAGATACTTCTTTCCCCAATTATTTGAAATGTAATAACCTGTGGTCTGTGAAGGCTTTGAGACAGGTGTATGAGGCACGCTACATTGCAGAGAGAGCTAGATTAATGATATGGAGCAACATGGAGTCAAGAAGTTCAGCTTGAACCCTGGATTTCATATCACCCTGGCTTTCTTGTGCCTTGTATCTAGTTGTGGCCTCAAATATGGAGTGAACATGGGTATGTGAAAAAAAAGTTTTTAATATATATCAGCCTGAGTTAAAGTACATCTCCATTCTAGTTCAGCAAGGGTCCTTAGGCAAACAACCCAAGTTTGCTAAGAGTTGAATGTCAGAAGACAAATTTGGTACATTCATCTGCAACTGCGGACGGACATAGGGATGAAAGATTGGGATTCTCCTTGTGAGACTGTGGGCAGCTGAGTGTTTCAGGCTCAGGGCTGAGAACCAGAGTCAGCAGCCTGCTCCTTCTGTGGCAGAGGGGCATTGATGCGGGGATTGGATTACATTCCTACAATCTCTGCCTTTGGTCCCCATATTCCTACAACATTAAGTTATAACTTAGATTCTAATACACTCGGTTTAATGTTTCTGCTTGAAATTTCATAATGCTTACTATTTTACTGCATGAATTCAAAAGAATGTTGTAACATCAAAGAATCAGGCATAAACACTTCTCTCTTTTGAATCAATAAAAACATGGACATCAGTGCAGCAGCTTCCAAGTAGGAGGAAAGAAGGGAAGGTTGCAAAGAATCCTCAGGGGCCTTTCTAACTACATTCTAGAGACCATCAAAACCTGACACTATCTGAGAATGACTTTTAGCATATAAAAATCTCAGGACAAGGAGGTGGTTTCTCCTAGACTC